CCCTTCAGATTTTGAGGCCTCTAATGTAAGAAAAGCAACAGGAAAAGCAAAAAAGGGTAAATGAAGGCAGTAGTATTCCTGCCAGTGACCCCTGTGCAGTGACCTGTCGCTCACTTGATCGCGTCTGGGACTGATGACCCGCTGTACGAAGTAACTGAAAACGCCCCTCAATTCAGTAGAGGAAGACCATTCTACAGCATTATAAAGGCAGATGTACACTGGCTTCCTCCCCGCTTCATGTAAATACTACGGAATTAGATGCCCGGGGCATCGGGTGCGTCTGGTCAGCCTCTTAATCACGATTTCCAGTAGGGTCACCTCTCTAAACTGCAACCAAGGACAGCTCCAGGCCAATAAAACAAAAGCAACCTCCTATGCAACAAAATTGAATCGCTTGTTGCAAGGCTGAACTTCTATTCTATTAACTGACTACCACTCCAGGTCACTGTGACACCCCCAACTAATACTAGTGGCTGCACCAGACGAAGAACTTAAGCTCAGCACCTTTCAGGCAGGTTGAGAACATTTATCTATTGTGGAGTCTTAGATTTTCACTGTCCAGCAGTTACTCCGTGATCATGTCGTGACCCACTTCCAACAGCTCCCGGATAACCAACGGGGTCACTCCCCACGAGCGAATTCTGCTGGTAGCTTCTTCATGGCTGAGAAGCCTGGCGTGGGACTCTACAACGCGCCGCTGGGCGTTGTACACACAGCGCCACCCTCCACAATGAGCTGTGATTGAACAGTTCTGGTAAGCCTCAAGCTTCCTACCCGTCCATTAGGGCACAATATACAGGAAGCTGATCGAAATTTGTTCTGCGCTTCATCCCACATGCATTATAGGACAGCCTCATGGAAAGCCTTTAAGTTAAATTTGTTGTTTCTGCATGGGTTGCGCCGTGATAACTGCTGCCACACAAAGTGCCAACGCAAAGGAGGCAGACTCTTTACCTGCACAACTTTGACGCTAAAAGGTTTATACGCAGTCTAATGAAAGCTAATCGTGCTCTGTGAACAAGTAAGTGAACAGAAATGAGAACGAGAGATGCAGTCACAATCCATTCGGTTTAACGGTGTTAAGCTTGGCCTGCTCCAGCAAAAAGAAGCAAAACTTGCGTATGGAGGATTTATCAGGATAGCTTTTCATTCTTCCTAAATCCATTTCCCCTCAAATCCATGGAATTATTGGGCCAGATGGCTCCCACCCTACTTGCGTAGTGCACAGTTTTAATGCCCTGGTGCGGCAACGTCTGCACATCAGTCACTCAACTTGTCGGCTGCGCGTATGTCTGGTTTAGTCATCATACGCATCAAGTGAATATCCCGTTGCCTCCCTACCGAGAAGCTTCCTGTATAGGCTGCTTACTGCGAGCAACATGCGGCGCCGCTACTGCAGTGGCGGCTGCGTAATATGCGTGTCGAGCTTGGCCACAGGAACTGGGACCTCAACATAACGCGGCACATAAATGGGTACAGGGACATCAACATACGTTGGCGAAAGACATGGAGCGGCGAAAACCTGCGGACGATTGTCAGAACAATTCACAATCTAAAAGTGATACCTAGGAAGCTTTCTGGACAACGGTGACTGTCAACCAGCTCACAGGGACCACTTCATAGACAGCATTACGCAGTTAACTGTACGAGTAAGAAAAGGCGCTACTCATCTGCGTAGACATACTGTTGTCGTAATTCGCTTGACTGGGACAGGTATTGACATCATCAACCCCCTTTCATCTGCTTGGCATAATTGCAGCGTGGCTGCTGGTCTCTCCTTTAAGCCTCTGGCTTGTAGAACATCCTCTCGGCTATTCTCCATTTGGTGTCCGTGGAAATTTGATCAGTCCGGCGAGGTCCGCTGATTCAAACGGCACGGCCGTAGAGACGCTGTTCAAAGATTTATAAGGGACGCTGAACGCGAAAGATTCTCGAATGAAAACGGCCAGTGACTCAAGGGCTCTGCCGACCTAGGTCTGCTTCCATCGCCTCCGCCTCCTCAAACTGCCAAGACAGTGGCGCATTAATCTGGAACTCCGGCAAAAAAAGGATTCGGTGTTGCCTTTTGAGCTAATTAAGTGTCTTTTTGGAGCATAAAGGGGAAAATTCGGGTGGAAATACCGAGGGTACAGCTTGGTGTGACAGCCTAAATGTTACTGGCAAGGCGACTTGGGCATGGTCATCGATAGGCGGGTAGTTAGCCTATGAAAGACTACTAGAACAGGCCTTGCTTCCGTGTTACAGCGATAGAAGCGATGATGTGCCCCAGATCTAGTCATGAAGTATTTGTGTAGGGAGGGACTGGATGAATGGAGGCGCAGTTTAAGAGAAGGTGATCGTTCACCGCCTTAGGGGCTGAGAGACAGAGTTGTATAGCGCACTCAAATCGTTTGAAGGATGCATCTCCCAGCTTTCCGCATTGACATATTATTGGCTTAGAGTCCATGAGAAACAACAAGAGACGAAGTTATAGTGACTCTCACCCTGCATTGTCGAGCTCTGCCGTCCAGCCTTTCTGTGAAGTGACACTGGCGTTCGTTACTGCACTGGAAAACTACATGAATTGCATTTCTGAGTCTTTGTTATGAGACATGTTTGCTTGTTTTTGCATGGCGCGCAAGAAAGAGCAAGTGCGACGCTGAATTCGCTGCCGTAACTAGTGAATGCGGTGTCGTGTGTTGGTCGGGGCTTAAACATCGTCGCTTAACATTTACTATCCCAAGCGTAGACAAGAAAAAACACGAAAAGTGGGGTTCCCGGCTCTTCCACTCCACTGCTTCTACCCATGGCGTCTGAGATTTAGCTGTAATTCGCTGGACGCAGGTGCCACACTGTGCAGATTACTGTCTCGTATGAGCGTGCAATAAATGGTTTGCATGCTCATATTTAAGTGCCTCTTGCCTCACTAAAATGAAAAGCACAGGATCAATACAGCTGCTTAGTGTCCCAAGGAAGCGGCCACGTTGGACGCTGAACCCATACAGCTCAGCAAACCGCCTTCATGTGCACCTGCTTCAACAAAATTTTAGCTCCGCGGGTGGTGCCGACACCAGCGTAACTGTTCCCCTTTCTTGGCTGAAGCGAAGACGCTCTCCACGGCTGTGGAATTCGCAAGCTATTGAGGCCGCAGCGGCAACTGTAATGTTGCGCGCGAGATGTAACCACCAGTCTCTTGTGGCTACACCCTTTGCTGGAGAGACTTCTGTTTACTCAAGGGATCAAACCGCTCCATCAAGTTTGCCCTTGTCAGCTGGTGGGTCCATTGTTGAGCCAGTGCCGGCTTCTCTCTTCTGTTCGCTTTCGGGATTACTGAAACTGGAGTCATTCCTTTGCACAGACAGCGTGGAACTTCCGGACGAAGGCTGGAAAGAAGAAGGTAACTATGCAGTAGCTGAGAGGAAAGTGAAGACAGAGGGAATTCGTGCACAACGCAGCGTGGCCGTACTTGGAGATACCGAGCAAAGGTGAAGCTGCAGGAGTGACAAAGTAGCTGGATTTGCGGATCGTCAAGGGGAACTAAGGATTTGGATTCAGGCTTTTGTAGGCAATTGAAGCCTGCCTAGCATGCTGGGGTTGCCGGCCTCACGCCCGTCAAGTGGTTCATCTTTTTGAAGGACCATTGAGCTGTTGAAGTCGCATACATCTGCTCCGCACTAGAATTGTTCAGCCAGTCAACCTGACCAGGATTCCGGCGCGCATTACCCGCCCCGGCAACGTTTCAAGGAGGATTTCGTGTTTACGACTGCATTTTCTTTACCACAAGTCATCAGTTTTTCCTTTTGCCAAGTACCTCGTAATTCTCCAGTTGTGGAGTTGCTGCAGTTCTCTGCATTGCCCATACCATGAAGCGAGGCCCTGAGGGAGTAAAACCATACAGTGGAGCGGAGCCACGCTGAAGCCAAGCTCTGGCCTACGTGGGAGCGTCGTGTGTGGGGAGAACATTCTTTGTCCTAGTATTATGGAGCTTGTCTCCGCACCAGCTGGTATTCAACAGCTCAACATTGCGTCAGGCAAACTAGTCGTCCTCTGCATCTCCGAGCGTCCAGAGAAGCACGACCCTTGAATTCGAGGCTAAGGTTGGAGCAGGTTTTCATCTTGTTCCGCTTACGCTTCTATCAGAGACGGTGCTTCAATTGGTTGCACAACGCCCTCATGTCGCTGCATTCATGCCATAAGCACGCACCCTGAGTTTTCTCGTGGCAGTTGCCTGCCTTACCTGGTGCTTTGCTTGCAATTACACAGACAATTGTTGGCGTGACGCCCGTGCCAAAGAGACGAGAAACAACGGCCATGTGGGTCTGTCACAATCTGGCTAGTGGATTGACTCCAGACTGTTGGGAGGGTGTTGGCATCGTCAGCAGCCGGGAAGAGACCCTGGATCTAGCTGGGATAGGCTTGTGTACAAGCGTGTCCACATTCGTCACAACTGCCGCAGCATGCTCAGTATCGCACGGCGTAAGCTCGGGCCCACTGCTCAGTCTTTGCCCCGTATCGAATGGGTGCTTGGTGGACTTACGGCTTGCGCTGATGCTTGTGGCTTGTTTGTTGCTGCTTCGTACAGCTGATTGCCTAACGTTGTACTCACAGGCTTCTTCCCCAGAGTATCCAGACTTCTGGTTCGATTTTTCTGGGATGCCAAAGAGTATGTCTTACACAAGCCCGATGCAGATGAAACCCCCAAATTCTCACTGAACTGCCGCACTCCTTCGTGTAAAACAGGAGCTGCCACAGACGACTTTGCAGCTTTGACTCTAGGTGCTTTTCTCAACAAGTGTGGATTTCCCTCCTTAGCACCAAGAGACGCCTTTTTTGAGCTTCCCGTTGTCAAGCTCTGCACATCGCCTCCTCCACAAACTTCTGCAGGAGTTTTGGCTGAAACGGCCGAGCTGTCCTCTGTCTTCGCACTTTGCTGTCTCGATCGAGCTTCAGGCTGAGAGGCTTGTCCTTTCACGTCTAATGGCAAGCATGAGCTCTCTTTCGGAGGAAGATCGGTTATTCGTTTACTTATGATGGTCCGAAAGTGAATACTCCGGCTCGCTGTCCTGGGTAGCCCGGACGTTGGCAATGTTCTTTGATTGCTGGCTTAATTTGTCCCTCGATGCAAGGCTAAAGAGCTGTTTTGGTGAAGTCCCATGCCCCTTAGATTCTGTCAAAGGGCCTGCCTTAGATCCTGTCAAAGCGAGTCCATCCACTTGCACTGAAGTTGACACTGGCAGAGACCTCTTCGTGCCTATTATCGAAGTTGTGTTTGGATCCAACGATGCAGAGAAATCGTCACTTTGAATGTTTACGCTTTGCACGACAGGCGCAGAAGCACTGCCCAAAGATGAGGTTCCGAGGATCATGGAGTCAGTTTCGTCAACTGCAAATTTCTTAGCAGCTGCTTCCATCAAAGTACCTGTCGTTTTAGTATGCAGCAAGCCTCCTGGTGTCCTGCCAGGTGCATTTGAGGGTGAAATAGTTTCAGCAGATTCGGCACTGTTCTTGTTTTTTGCTTTCACTGGCTCGCTATGGACGCGTCCTAGAGCAGAAGGTTTTGCACATCCTCTCATGTTGCCGGCTGACGTCTTGCTCCTTTTCTTCTTCTCAGCACGCCGTTCCGAAGGTGCTGGTGATCCGGTCTTTGTGAAAATGGGTGCTTCCGGAAGGTATGTAGTTGATACTGCGCTTTGGGGAGTGCCCGTCTGTGCATGTACCAGTGTGCCGCTGCTAACAGAGGTTTTCGAAGCCTGTTTTCGACAGTCTTTGGGAGTTTTCCATTTCTCAGAAGCTGAAGCCGCTTCAAAACTATTTCCATCCGGGTATCCTTGCTGCAACAGTGCCTGACCTACGCTGCTTCCTTTCGTTTGAGACACTTCTGGCATCATATCAGCGTGTGTCTTTGCCACGCTTGCTTTCATGCCGATATCGTTGCAAACCGCTTCAGCGGCCCCAGGGCTTGAATGCCCAATTATATCTTCTGCTAAAAGAGCCCCATGGTCAAGAAGGAATAGGTAAACTGAGCAGGAAACCAAAAAGCGCCGCTCAAGACATCTACATCATGCATTCGGATTTCGGGTCAACTAATACTTGGCCACTGTACAGCTAAGATGAGCTACAAGCTACCCTAGGCTTTTCACTCGGAGTCACATGCTCCTTACCACTGCTGCCCGGACAGGTACAATCCAATGCGGTGTTACCAGAAGCACTGATGGCGTTAATATACTCTCTGCTACTGCGGCGTTGTATAATAAGGCTAATAATGCCCAGACAAGCCTGAAACAATGCGTCAGAAAATCAACAGCCTTTATGCGGAAACTGTTTTGGAGAGGTTGTTACCAGCATAGGACGCTCTACATACTGTCGGTTGATGTGATACTGCACTGAGCGTTGTTTGGAAGCTGTGGAATTCTCAAAAAAGCAGAAGGACGAAGCAATGAGGAGTAGATTTACATCTGTAGCGCACGCGATCATCAGCAGCGTCCAGGCACTAGGGTACGACCTTGCTTCCACGTCAGTGCCTGGGTCTGCCAGGAGATAATTTACAAGCCGTTCTTGCTGGTGAAGTAGACACAGCTGAGGGGTTGTGAAGATCTCTCCATAGCCCCTGATGCAAGGACAAAGAAACGGGAAAGGGAGTGGCCGGATGATAAGCACCCGTAGTCTCACGGAAAGCCACAACAGCCAATAATTTGGAGTTCGACAACTGGTCGCTAAGCTGCTGAAAAGCCAGAAATGTCTGCAGATGCGGGATACTTTTGCAGCCAATGAAGAATTATCTCCGGATAACTGAACAGCTTACGGCTGTTTGTAGGTACAGATGGGGATGTTCCAAAAGGCGCGATAATTACGCAAACTCTCCAGGTCTCCTTCTGCGCGTTACACATTCAGAGCGTTATAATGGAAATTATATGAATGAATGCCTCTGCCTCTCAGGTTCGGTCCCATTCATGCCGGCAAAGCTACCAGAGCCCTTGCGTCACATGCGTCATAGCCTCTCAAAAGTATAGTGGAGTAGTGCTAGAGGTCTTCTAGATGTCAAGGCTCACTCACGTGTTACTGTGTCGTACAACTGCTGCCTGTTAGGCTGTTCTTCAACGAAATGACGGTACGGTGAGCACGGGCTGACGTATAGATGCTTCGTACGGGGGTTCTGAGAAGGGAAAACTGACAAAGACGGACCCCTTGGACTATGTCTTCTGAAATCCCCCTATAATGAAAGTATTTGCACTGCTTGGTCCCTACTGAGCATAGTGAGCTCACTCAAATGGTGAAGATGCGCAACACTCTACCCAGAGCGCCGTAAAATGCGAACCAAAGCACTGATTCAGGTATAGTGTCAAGCTGGGGAGTGCTCAGCCTCACCGAGAAGTTATCCATCTTCAAGAAAACGTTCAGGGAGCTGCAGTAAATGAGGGATAATTGAGAAGGGCAGTACCCACGTAATCTGCTCACGGCGGCCTGCTTAGACAAATCTCGATGGGCATGCAAGGAAAGGATCTTAATCTGCGGCGTTGCCCATATAACAGAAAAAATAAAAACTTTAAAAGCACGATTATGTTCCCAAAATGAAAAGGGTGTGTACTGCTGACAAGTGCACAGTGGTAACACTCAAGAAGTGTTTTAGGCAGGGGGATATCACGATGGGCAATCGAGTTAGTTGCTGCCATGACCGTCGCCGACAGTGGTGCCCGTCCAGTGGCTCTGCTGCACACTAATCTTGAAAAAGAAGTAAACAGAACGTAGAAATACTTCACAAAGGAGTGAAGTCTGGCTTAAATGTTTCAGCGTTACCTCTTGATCGTCACCTGTACAGAAGCACCAGACAGGCCAGCAACTTTGTCGCTCGCTGCTGCAGGGCACCGGCTTCGCGCATGTTAACTGCTGAAGGAAATAAACTGCTTTACGTTATGCAAAAACATTAAGTGTCTCACGTTTTTTGCCATGAAGGTGTGGAGGATCGCCGAAATGCATTCAATTCGCTATTCCAAGCAGCTGGGGACACACTGGGCACGCAGGAGATAAAGCAGGCCCTCACCAAAACAAGAAGGGTATGGATGAATCACTACGTCAGGAAGAGGCATCCTTGCGTATAGAAATGAGCGAGGTTTAATTCGTTGGTTTTAGCCGTAAGCTCTTAACACTCCGATACCTTTCAACGGGATGGACCAATAGCTTAAGCCATCATACGAAAAGTGGCAAAAGTACACTGCACTGCCAAAACAAAAACGAGAAAAAAACAACTGGTATGCGTGAAGATTTAAGACCCAACAAGAGTGCGACAGTTCACACTCCCACAGTCTCCGTTTCTTCACTCGAATGCGACAATGATCACTTGGCTCTGGCGTATTCCATTCGGCTGCGTGGCTTTGGGCAAGCAATCCGTCTATGGTCCATCATGGCTGAGAAGTCACTGTAGCATACGAAATAATATGGACAGCGCATTTCAGCAGAGGAGAAGGCCTATATGTCTCTTCCGCTCTACAAGGCATCGAAAGCCTACCTCAAGAGCTTCGCGACTCAAAATTTTGAAAGTAAAAAGTATTGCTAAAAGAAACATGATACTAAGAACGCGTTTTCACAAAAATTGTCACTTGAAGAAGTCTCGTGTACCCCATAGTGGTGTTATGCGGCAACGGCCACCTCACCATTTCAACAGCTGACCTAAGGCCAAGTCTGGTCACCAGGGCTAGAGGAGAAAGCCAGCCCTCCCCAATAATGTTGTAGCTCCAGAGAGAAGACAGATGGAGTCACATGCTTGAGGGGCCGTCAATAATTGTTGTGTTCACAGAGGAGCGCACACAACTGGATACAAACGGCAGGCTGGAGACTATCCCGTAAGCAAATCAACCAGTTGGAATTAGACTGTCGCTTCAGTGACGGTAAGGAGGACGCCTTATCCAACAGGAATCGTACGTAAGACCAAAGCGCCGTCCCCAGAGAGTATAAATGAAATGTGATAAACGCGTTACAAAATTTCGGAAACAGAAGTTCAGCCTTCCCGTTCAATGTGCTGTATTACTGTCTGCCACTTCGACTTCCGTTTTCCCTTCTAAATCGTTTAACCCGAGAATGTTTCTTGCTCTCCTTTTGGCTTCGTTCGTTGGGAGTTTTCTTAGATTCGTGAGAAGCAATGCAAAAAATTCTGCTGAATGTTTAATCTCCATTGGAGACGTACCTGTCATGTGTGGCATGTGTGGCTGCTATTCGCGGCCGGATATGCCCTTCAGTTGCCGGTAAAGTGACACTAACCAGAAAAGGGTGTTGCAGTTCCAGCCAGAATCTTGCTTGCTCTGCCATCAAGGAATGAAGCAAGTTTCTCCGTTTTAGCTTATTTCTTCAAATCCCTCAGTAGGTTTGATGCCCACTCCCTTATATCGCTGCTGTGGTTCCTGCGTTTACCTGCAGCTGCTCGTGCTTGTTTTGCAAAGCGTCATCGTTGCGAAGCAGGAACTTTATTTCGCAGCAACGCTGAGATGAATATTACAGTGTACCGGTAAGGTGCGGAGTCCAAAACAGAAGGGCAGTTATACTAGGCCGTTACTTATCCGAGCAGCTGCAACGCACTCGTGCGGCGCCGGCGTGTCACCTGAAGAGGCAACTTTTTATCCTAATGTGCCTGGTAAGCGCAGCGTGAATATTTTCACTTCTATAGCTGCCCACTTCAACCTAAATGCATCTAACTCCAAAACTGACTTTCACCTTCTGAGTCGAGAAACGGTAGAAACCGTAGCCATTCGGCGACGCCTTCATGCTGCGCCTTCATAAAGCGCTGTTCCACACCCATGTTCCCTGTCATCTACGTTTTAAGCTCTTCTTACTGTTGCAAGCTAGTAAGACTGAGCCCATTAAGGAACTTATATGTGGAACATGGAAAGGAACGAACCTCCGATGACGCTGAAGACTACCGCACCACACTTGAGGAGACAGAAGCTTGTGCACGTGACCCTAGCACCACAGAAATCGAGCTTAGTAGCCTTTCTCGAGACCATAGTGTTCTTCATTCATGAACAAGCCGTCATCGTTCTCTTGGAGGAGGCAAAATTGGCAAAAAGTGACCAGACCCCAATACACATGAGGCTGACTGACGCAGGCCACTGCCACCCCACTCCACACTAAGCTGCATACAGTCCTTGTTACTAGTATGACTAGTGAGTAAAGAAGACAAAATGGATTGTTTCCGTGTGTTTTTTTACCTTATCTGACTCCATGATGCTGCTAGCGCAGCAGTTCCAACTTCCTCACGGGTTCCGCTTTCTGGCTCACCGTACGTGGAGCATGCCACACATTAAGGAAGATTTACTTACAAACTTATGTAGGGTAAGCAACAAATAGACAACAACTGCAAATTAACCATCTTTCTACTGCCAAGTGCTGCATCTGGGTCCAGTGGTTCGACCTGCAGCGTTGGCTCACAGTTGCGGGCTCCCCGTCGACCACCGCAGCCACTGTCAGCAGAGTCTTCAACCACTTGAGCATAGTCGCTTTCTAGGCAAACTGAATGTTAAACCTGTGAAGTATATAGTCTTTAAGCAAAAGCGAATAAGCAAGAGCTCAGGGAACAGTGGACTGGATCGACAGGGTGGCAGCAGACTGCTTCCAATAATCGAAGCCATCCGACAACACAAGCGGCGAGGACACTATTCTCCCGGCACACCAACGTACGCCCACACCAGCTGGAGCCAGAACCTGCCTCATCCACCAAAAGCGCGGGACAGTTAGAACAAGATCCGGCACCCCGTATATCATCGCAGGAGTAACAGCTCATCAGAGCCTTTCAGGGGCCTTAACTATTGCTGCCTTCTCTCGGTGCCTGGATATAGACTTGGGCTTTGCCAATAGATTCTTCGTAGGCCATTTTCAGCCCAACCCCTGCGCGAAGATAGTACCTCTCCAACGCCATTTGCGATTTCAGACAACCCCCTGGGCGGCTGCGTCTGCGGCGAGTGTGAAGATGGCGACCTTTCACATAGAGAAGTCAGTCATAGCCAGTAAGCTGTGCAGCCCATGACGCTATTTGGACCACCTCATTCGAACACCCGCAGCTGCCGGTGGATGGGGAGGCGCCTCTTTAGACCCATGAAGTGCAGCCAGACCTCTGTGAGAAGGAATGTAACATTGTTCATTTTAAATGCCTCGCACATCTAATGGCAACATTTTGGAGGAAGAAAGGCCCCTGAGATCGATTGATGTTCAACGAAAGCACTCCCTAGTACGTAGTAGGCTGTTAGTGCGACTCTGACTCGCTAAGTTTCTTCATCGAGCACTTTGACTGCTTCTTGTTTGCATATTTCACAGACGGCTCCTTGGGGACTGTGAAGGCTATGAAACGTTACTGGAATCAGCCGGTGTCCGACATGAACGATGAGTAAGATCAGCTGCTACGCCGAATATTTAGGAGCACCAGTCGCATATCATATAATTCCCAGATTAGCTAAACCCGACATGCTATTCGCACTTCGCCCTCTTTCTGTATAATCAATTTATTGACGGGAGTGCCTGATATATGCAGTGTTTCTCTCCATGCTTTTTTTGCTGTGTTGTGCTCTTCAGCTCGAACGCGTCAAAATATACGCTGCTGCAGATGGCGCTGATGCTACAAAAGAAAAAAGTTGTCGAATACCTCCTCCCACAACAAGATCTTGACCTGAACACAAAGGCCACAGATGGCACCACAGCTTTGATGACTGCATGCGACCAACAGGCAAGGGCCAACAGCTCCATTTCATGTGGCCTGCTTTGAACGTGTGACTCATATAAATACCCATAAATAATGCGTGCCATAGTCTCCGGTTTACTGCATGCGGCGTTTCAGGTCCCCGAGGACTGGGTCCAGGCGATGCTAGAGAGAGGAGCCAACAAAAGCATCAATGACGAAGACAATGAAGGCCGCACTGCTCTGGACCGTTGCGAGAAAGGATCTCCACGTAGGTCCTAGATCTGCAGTTTTCGTTTATGCCTTACGTATGTGGGTTGTGATCTCGTGCACTGCTTCTCGGGCGAGTACTGCCTTTGGCTATCCGTGAACGTAGTAGTGTGCCACAGAGTATTCGTTGCCTCTTTGGGCTCCATCACTTGCTGCTTCAACTGCGCTTCAGTGTACTTGTTGTTGCTTAAATACGGAGCAAAACCGCGCCCTGAGAAGCTACCAACACCTCCCCCAGAGCCTGAGGTTACGGTTGCTGCAAGCAACCCACCAGCGAGCACAGATTCGGAAGCAACGAAACAGACGGTGCGCTTCCACCAGTGCCGTTAGTTCACCCCTAGCTCAAAACGGGAGGTAGCTTCCCTTATATACTGTAGATGAAGGGACGTCATGGGTAGAGGGAGAACAGATGGCCACGGATATACGGTCCCCGTAAGTCTAAAGAATGTCAGTAAAGTGGCATATCCAGGTGCAGCCTGGCGGTAGATAGTCAAGCTGACTCTTTAGTGGCCACTGGTGGGATCAATAACGTCTAACTGCAATATCAGTAGTGTCATATGCCTGTGTGTGAGCAGCCGGAAATAGTAATGGCCGACGACGTCCCTGGCTTGGTGAGTGGTTTGTCAGGTGCATCTGACCAGGTTTTGCTGTGCCCGTAGTGGGCCGAATATACCCAAGACGTCGCCTATGTGCTTGCTTTTTTTCCAGGAACAACACCCCGGTTTCTGGGGCTCTATGTGTGGCTGTGGTGGTCGCACACATAAGACTGAGGCAGTGCCTGTTTTCAAGGCCTAGCAGCTAGCGCTTGTTGCTGCTATTCGTTGGTAAATCACATGCGGCACGGAGCGCGGTCTGGCACTTTGACTGTCTTGCCAAGACTTCAGTTCCGTTCCCTGTAGAATGTTCCAAGTCGGCGCGGCATCTCTTTTTAGAGGCGCCACTTCGAGGACTTGATGAATTTGCAGTTTAGGGGTCCATGGCACGACGAACGTAGACCCAGCATATTCCCTGCGGCTGTGTTTCAAAGGTAACCCTTGGAGTCCATTTCTTTTGGCGTAGTGCGGAGATGCGGCTGTGCCATTCGTCGTCCGCCGTGCGGTACACGGGGAGGCCATTTTTCTGGTACACGGAGAGGCCAGTTATCCACGAAAGTGTTTTTTCTTTACCCATCTCTATCCTCTGTACATTTTTACTAACGCAGACAAAATTTGGCGGGATTTTCCAAATATACAGAGCTTCCTGGGAAGGTTGGCAGTGGATGGGTAAATCTTGGGGTCACCCAGCCAAGCATAACAAAGCTAACGAGAGGCTACGTTCGGGATTCCGTGTAAATCGCAGCTGCTACGCACAATGCCCATCAGTCTAGACACGCAGACGCAGGAGCTCTTCAACTTCGCTCACTGACCGAGGCACAACCTGAAAGCATGGACATCACCTTTCACACAAGGCATGGGCATCACCTTTTACCCCAGTCCACGCCCACAAGAAAGGATCTGTCCATGTACCCTGGCGTAGGTGCCGTCGAGACAAACTGGAGTAGATCTATGAAACGTTTTGGGCGTAACGGTAGGGGCTGACCGTCAAGTTGCGGACGCCATTTCTGGTGATTAACACATCGTCTTCGAGCCGCACACCTCCTACGAATTTGTATTTCTCAATGACCGCGAAATCCAATAAACTGAAATCGAAGCCGAGGGAAACACATCTAGTGATAAACAGTTAGGAAACACTGTACATGCAACTAATGCGTGAGTGTAGAAGTTCTGCAGTAGTTACCACATGCTTTCCTGCGAGGCGCTCACTGCGCTTGGGAAGCATTCTTGGCAGCTTGCTTCAATAAGTGGTCCACAAAGTAGCATCCTGAGTGGAGACCGAATACGGAACGGGAGGAACTGAACTTTCCTTCCCCAACATTCGTTTCTGTTCATTCGTCCAGCCAAACTAACAGATATGTGGCAGCGAGAGCAGTAGTCCTGCAGAAGCTGAGCTATCGGAAATCCATGCTAGCCTTAACCTTACCTGGTTCAACAGTAATACACATGCCTTCCTCCAAGGTCCTGGTGGTGCGAAGGTATCGGAGACCGGGGAGATCACTAGGGGGAGAAGATGGAGTAAAGCCTCCTACATCATGAGTGTCCATACCCATAAAATGACCCAGACCATGCGGCATGAAGATAGACCCCAAATTGGCGGCTACACAGTCCTCTATAGACCCAGCGAGGATTCTTAGTGACTGAAAAGTGTGCAGTCAGGGAGAAAATCACAGCAAAACTTCGCTAGAATGCGTCATTGCCCTGTACTCCTCCCTTTGAATCGACCCAAAACGACGCGCATGATGTGCACAAAAACTAGAAGGACTAGTGCTTCACTTTGCTCTAAACAATTTCCCGGAGCTGTGCAGGCCGGGGCAGGACGCTGCAAGACGCTGCGAAGGCGCACTGACCTGAATCCACGGTACTGCTCGGAAGCGCATTTCACTACCACAACGTGTCGTTTCTGACCTTGAGATGTTTAAGAATAACAAGCTCTGCTAATCTATGAAGCTCCGTCCACTCCACGCCAGGACGCATGCGCTCAATCACGCTCTTCTGTGCATCTAGTACTGCATCATATATCGCCTTTTGAGTTTCTGTGAAAATTCCGTTGGAAGGATACGTGAACGTAATGTCCGTGGCGTAGCCGTTGTAATCTCCACCCTAGAAGTGTACCAGACAATGCCACATACGCGTTCTATGTCTACAGTCAGCACAGTGAGCAGTGAGCAGCCTTGTGCAACTAGGAACAAGCCGTACTGCTCCGCAGACCCTGCTTTATGTGTCCTTATATTCATTAAAACCTGTGTCTCCCCATCCACTTATACGCACGGTAGCTCGACAAAGGAACTGCCCACCATATCAAATAGCAGCAAATCGTTGTCTTTAATAGATCCGTCGTTCGGACGGCCAGCATGACCGTAATGGAGGATGGATGCGTTCTCTCCAGCACTTAGCAGATGCACAGCCATAATGCAAATCAATAAGCACAGCTACTGCAGGACACACCAACACTAAAAGAAGGCGTGACAAGCAAACGGGCCCATGCTTGTACCAACACATTACTTTCTAAATTTGTTCCAAAGATGGTATGTCTGCTCACAGATAGATGGCAATGTCTAGCATTCAGAGATTTTGCAGACAGCGGAAGCTCACCAGCAAATACAATCATAAGCGACGTGTCGGGCGCCCCCTACAAAACCAACGTAGGCCTTAAATATTGCTTCTGCTTGTCCCTCTACCATTCCGGACCGAATATTCCGTGCAACAAAACAATGGGCTTGGGATGAGCATAGGCAGGCAGCGGCCAAGTACTCAGCCTCGAGAGGCGTCTGCAAGTTGAACACAGAAGCTTGCCGTGTAGCACTCAGTTCAGCTGAGTTCAGCTGAGAAGCTTTAATTCCAGAATCAAGGCAAACCATCACGCGAACCCAAATATCAGAGGATCACTTCACGCTGCAGGTGTGGAGGAAGCTTCAGTTTCTGAACATTCTACAAAGGGTCCTTATTCGGATACTGCAAACGACCTTAGCCAGACGATAAATCACTGATAAGCAAAGCTAGAGGCGAGTCTTGAAGTGGGAGCTGTGCTGCCATAACTAGGAAATAAAGGCTACCTTGCGGAGTCTGCACTCCACAAGAATATCATAAAGAGCCGAGCAGTCAACTGTGAAAGATGAGAAACTATTGAGAGCCTTCGGAGGTGCCACAGGCCTTCCGCTGTCAGAGTTGACCCCTTTCAACACGTGGACCGTTCTTACACCTCGTCTCTGCGAAAATCACAGCGCAAAAGAGACGTCCCGTTGGAAGGACGACACATATTCGCAGCCTTGCGCTCGTGCTGCTTCCTCTTCTGTCAATGGCTTGTGCTCTGCCTCAGACGCAGCCAGCAACGCTGCACCATGGAGTGCACTCGAAGAAACAGTGGTGCCGACAAACGTCCGCATGAACAATCGTCAGGAGAGTCGACTGCGCTTCTGACCTGCAGCTCTGCCTCCACGTCGCTGATCGCTTCCACCGCAATAGCATCTGTTACTGCATAGCGGCTGCGGTAAAAGTCCGCATCTTTCGAAGGACCCATGAACCTGTAAACAAAATGGGGCTGTTACACTTTTTTTCACTCTGGTGCATACCAAATACATGCGAAAGGCGGATCTGGTCACCAACGTGAAGAAAGGCACCTGAGGGCATCTGCCGGAATCTTTGGTATAAAGAGCAGGAGCTCGTGTGAGTTTAAAACAAATGCCGCATAGATGTCAGGCTCATTTACTCCGACTAAATGCTGAAAGAATGCTTCCTGCCTGAAGGCCGCCTTGTTGCAATCAGCTGAGGCAGACTAACACATGCGTGTTGCTGATGCGATGTGACATTAGCAGCGCCTGCAACCGCAGGCCAGACTGTCTCTGCCTGCTGCCGCGGGCCAATACAACGTGCGTTCTCACTAGTAACCCCAAAACTGATAGACAGTAAAAAATGCTAGGAACGGTGATCACGCATGGCTGTGAGACAACAGAAGCCGCTACTGGAGAAGAAGAAATACTGACAAGAGTACAGCATCCACTCATCCGTTGTTCCTCCTTCAAGGAAAACTGCCGCCCCCGGCTTTGCAAGACCATTCTCGCTTACAACCCTCAGAAACTGCCGTCTGACCTGAAGAAAAATGCTCAAAACCTTCGAACGGAGAAAAGCAGCTCGCCACAAAGTTCAGGCAGATGCAAACGCCATAATCTCGCCCTGCGTAAAATTTTCCCCTACGCCATGGCAACTTGAACACAGTGGTCCAAAAGGCGCTGCAGTTCCTTCGTCGTTTTCGCATCCGCTTGCTTCTGGTTGAATAATAGCCACTGAAACACGCTCGAGCGCTAACGCTGTGGGACGTACTTCTTCAAGCTTTTCCCTGTGAATATCTGGGCTTGTTAAATACTCCCTTAGAATACTTTGGTCATGAGATAACCTTAGTTCCTCCCATGTAGTGGGCCACCCAAGCCACGGCTTGTTTTTGTTATGATTCTTTTCCAGTAGTTCGTTCAGCCTGCCATGCAGGTCCGTAGGAGGGGATTCGGAGGCCATTGGGCCCACATTTGCTGTTGAATTCATCCCAGTACTCAAGATTCCGTTTACAATCTAGTGGGCAAACCAAGGAGTGCGGAATGAGCCAAGACGACCCTCATGAAACGCCGAGAACCACCCTGGAAGAAGTAGACAGGACTCTAAATAAATCCCACCTGACGAACACTGTACGTTGCCTTGTCAAGTTACTATTTCCCCTAACTAATAGTATTAGGTGCGTGGACAGAAAAGGCCGAGCGCGTAAGACAGCTACTCGTCTTCTGGTTTAGCGGCGGGGCCCTGCATTTACAATGCAGAGCCCTGAGAGCATCCAAACTGCCATGATGAACGTTTATTTCACAGTTTAATGTAGAAAATGTCATGGAAGCATCGAATGCTGCTTACACCAAACCCTTCACTGACCACATACTAGAGCAACATCACTGCTTTTGCACTTGTCGTCCCACCCAACCCAGGACCGCGGGTGGGCGTACTTCGCAGGAGGGTACCTGATTCAGTCGTTCTCCTCGAATCATAACGCAAAAATGACGGGAAAAGAGGCGGACTTTGCTGGGATGACATTACAGGAACTCCTGGACCGATTGTCCTTACACACAGATCTACGATCTGCGCTTCCAACGCTGTTCGAAGCTTGCGGTACGCTCATGTCCCCTGAGCACGCCAGATTGTGCGCCTGATTTGTGCCCTGGGCGGGAGTGAGGGAATGGGAAAATATGCGGGCGCAGACGATGCCTTCTGGATTATTTTTCCGTTTGTGCCATTGTGCTTGTATCCGTTCATCGTCCGTGTACCGGGGAAATCAAAGGATGTATAAGCAAGGCACTGCGTTCCACGAAGGTTACTAAGTCGGGCACCAGCAACAGCTTTGGAGAGGAACAACTCTCCGTTGACCTTTTGGCAGAGCGTCAGCTAAGGGATTGGGCAAAGCGGTGCTCGGTCGTTAAAGCCATTAGCAGTGAAGAGGAAACAGCGTTACAGGTCAGCAACTCTTTCCCTAGGTTGTTCTCTCCCCACTTGCCTTTATGCTTGTTTTGCTGTCGTGCTCGCGACCGGAACCCCTGATTTGGATACATTGTTGATTACGAACGAAACGGGCGTTGCGCGAAACGCCATCAGATATTTTTTACCTGCCTCTTCAAAGCTCTTTCCTTGTATTCAGGAAGTTAATGCTAATGGGTCGCTTGTCGTCTGTTGGGACCCGTTGGACGGTAGCAGCATAATTGACTGCAACTGGAGCGTCGCATCGATCTTTGGCATATGGCGAATCGGAGAAAACGGACTGCAGTGGAACGGACCAGATACACTCATCAACTCCACTGGTGGGGGTCTTCCTCTGTCAGTGCTGGAGTACAACAGTCATTGTTTTTGCGTGCCAACTCTGTGTGCTGGCCCCTGCCAGCGCTAGACAATTGTTGAATTCTATGCGCAGCGTATTGCTGTGAAGACTGCCGCGGCAACATATTGAATTAAGCGGCAAGCGTCCACCCAGGCGTGTGTTGCCTGATGCAGGCCGTCAGCAGGTCGCTGCGGTGCTGGTTATATACGGGCCACGAACAACTGCCCTGCTGTCTGTATGCGGCGTCACTGTTGACCTTCAACTAGATGCAGAAGGTGGAGCACCTGTTATTTTGAGGGGCCCTTGTTGCATTAAGAAGAACGGAGCGAAAATATTCTCTCCTGCAAACCTTAGGGCTGCGCAGGATCTGCCGGCCTATCAGAAAATGGTGCAACAGTGGATGGAGAAAAAGTACACACTCAGATACACAGGTGTGTAATGCTTACCGTGTTTCTCAGGTAAAGATTTCAGGAGGAGGATAGTGAAGAACAGTGTTCAATTAGATTTGCTCACTTGCATGCACTTGTGAGAGGGCGGACTCTCACATGTTGTCTTTGCTCTTTGCTGCCAGGTGGCCTCGGCCCGGACGTTTATCAACTGTTTGTAAAGGGACACGGAGTGTTCTGCAACCCGGCAAGCGACGAAGCTCCAGCAAAGCTTCGCCTTGCATTCGAAGTAGCGCCCATTGCATTTATTGTTGAGGCTGCAGGGGGGCGTTCAAGCAACGGCAAGCGCTCAGCGCTTGATGTGGTAGGGTCGTGTTCACGTCGGTTCATTACCAGTCTGCGGTATTCTTCGGCGGAATGAGCCTGGAAGCCTGTGTCAAGTCGAATCGAACGGAGATGCACTGCCAGGCGTTGACAAGTGGCATCTCCTATTCGCTGTGTTTCTTGGCGTGCTGCTTTCAGGCGCTTGAAACAATGGACCACCGCACAGCGTTCTGCTGCGGGACGGAGGAAGAAGTCATAAATTTCGAGGCATCTCTGCGTTCCTGAAGATTCGTCATACAGGTGAAAAGTAAATTTCCGTGTAGCACACTGTCACTTGTTTTTATTCAAGTAAATATAATGCTCCGCATGCATAGAGATAGGCAGCAGAGCGTACCCACGGTGCTCCTGACTCCGTGCGAGCTTCGCACGGCAACTCGGAACTGGCTCCCAGTAGAATTGGCTTTCCTGTGTACGGCTTCCTGTCACGCCTTCTGTGAATGGAAGCTGTGCGTCAGCCATCGGCAAAGCTGTTACTGGCCACGAGAGGCGGCGTTATTGCCGCCAGCCTCCACGTTGCCGATGACAGAAGCATAGCTGTGTTTCTTTTGTGTACAAATTTTGGTAGTAGGCAGACGTATGGAGTATAAGCATTTTCTTAGCCACAATGGGTCTTGCTGGGAGCGAAGCACCCATGGAGGCCGAACGCACCCCACAAAGTGGCCGTCGGTTGAAACAAATGTTACACAGTGGACTTATCTGTGTTCAAAGGGCCTCTCGAAATTATCGCGAGAATTCAGGAACACGGGCCTGTGCAGCTGACCGCAAACACCGCTTGGCAAAAACTCCCAAATTCCGTTTCTACTGTTTCCCAGTAGCCGTGTGTTGCTTGCAGCAACTATTGTCCAAACGGATCCCCGAGACGAGTTGTCCTGGGGGCTTGGAACAAGAAAAAAGCGTCTATACAGTAGGGCAGTGCCTTCTGGTGAAATGCACTGGAGAGCACTTCGGGGGGCAGCAACGCCTTAACCTTAAGCCCCTTATTACCATGTAAAAAGTAGGAATTGCAGGCCTGGTGTGAGGAATTTCGGTGTCTATGATGGTTCTTCAGCAGCATGCAATCGACTTCCTCTTCTGGGTCTTTTTAGATTGTGCATTTTCCACCATAGCAGGCGGCGTCGGTATTTCCTTCTTTATGGCTTTGCGAGCTTCAGCTGCCTCTGGAAACCCTTGCATCGCGATGTGGTAGCCTTGTGGCATTCCACTACCCCCAGCTGTATTGTAAAACGAGAAATCACTGCCAAATGCGTGGCAGAATGTCTGCATGTTTGGGTCCTGGTAAGGGAAGCCCAAGTTTCCAACAGCGGGTTGGTAGAGCGGGGGTGAAGTAGTGGGCACATAATCGTACGCTGGCATAGGATCGAATTGATGGACTTCGATGTCGTCGCTATGGAAGATGTGCTGAGTTGCTGAAGGGGCGCAAGTCTGCGTCGGATCCGGGCCGCCTGCGTAGTATGCCATGTTGTTCACATTGCTGTTACCTGAGTGTCAAAGGAAAAAGGCAGCAAAACAGTCCGCTCTGTTTATTCATAGTTCGGCTCGACTGGGTTTCCTAAGCGGCGAAGCTGCAGACTGAAGGCCTAACTGCCACCTCTCTGGAACCAGTGATGGTGCACTAAGCCTGAAAGTGCGTGCATGGCCATATGACAATCGAATACTTCTGAGTGAACGCGATTTAGAAAGAAGAGGCGTAGAATACCGCAGGAAGGCATCTAAAACCGGCCCACAGACGCCTTCGCAGCTGTTCCGAAGGAGGAATGAGTAGCTGACGACAGGACTCACCTTGGACGTAGCCATCGGGAGTCAGATACGTCTCGGTGTAAGCCGGGAAAGGCGAAGGATATGTGGATTTCTCCATCCTATCTAGTCTGGATTTCCGGTCAGTGTTGGTCCACTCCACTCGAGAGTGTAGCTGCTTCAGGCTTGGTTGTGACAAGGCAGATGGAATGGGTGCAGGCGGAATATCCAGCTTTGGACTAGAAAGTATTACTCTGTGTCCTCTCACTTTCGAAAAATTGGGCTTGAAATCAGGTAAAGCTGCAAGTGGCAGAGTAACACTTGCAAACCCAGAGACCGTTGCAGTACTGCGAGCCACACAGCCGCGCCCTGCAGAACCACGAACCAACCACCACTTCATCCCTTCTTCTCGTACGCTGTCCTGTTGAAACTTAGTATCCGGCGAAATATTTGCAGAAGGGAGATACTAGTGGTATTTTGACATCGCGAACTTTGTAGGATACTGGAGATTTGGTTAACATGGGAAGCGCTTTCCAGCGCGTATTCAGGCTCGCGTGGCGGCGGCGCCTACTCGTACGTACTCCCGTGCAGGCTGCAAGAGTTCTTGTGGATCCCAGTAGCTTTAAACTTCCTTTTTATGTCTAGGGGATCTTTTCAACAGAATTTATCAGCAAGTTAGACTTGCCTGATCATTATATATCGATCCTACCGGCGCCTGGCTGCCGTGACGTGGACCACTCGACTCACCATTCATCATCCATAACCTGTCATATCAGGTATTCTACAAGTGCTGTGCATTAAACCTATATTGCATGTTTAAATGACTACGCATAGGCTTCAAGGCTCCAACCATGAGCAAAATCTACCCTCACGCAACAGCTCGGAGACCCGAGACTCGCCCCCTTGCCTAGGGCTCTTCGGAATGCCTCTACGACCAGCAGTGCGAGCGACATCTTGAACCTGAATTTAACGAGCTATCTCGAGCTCCTTCACTGCGTTTTATGACGTATGCCGTACAATGTATAGCCAGATACACGGCGATTTACTACGTATACAGTAACTCCGTCGCCCGCCTAGCAGCGTCTCGGGCAACTACATGAAGGCAAAGCGCAAGGTCATACGCGGCTGCTTTTGACAGTGCACAGAAAAATAGCAAACGGACCAATAAGCGGGTAGCAAACAGAATTTCGCACCTGCCTCAAGGCTCAGTAGGCATCACGTAAACAAGAGCATCTTCCACATCGAAGCAAAAGCATTCATGCGCAAATATGCTCTTGTGTGAATGCTCGTTTCACTGAACAGGATGCTGCACTGTACAGGTGAATACTACAATGCATTAATGGTTCGTAGACCTTTCTGGAGTGCTGTGGTGTACTGATTGATCGCCTGAATACACATATACACTTCAGTGAAACAAAACCAACAATTCAGTGACGGCTGGCACCAAAACGGACGAATTTTCGCCACGGTAGCGTGCCATGGGGAACCCTATCTACATCAGCAGAGTTTTATGCGCTGAGAAGATTCCTTCATCAAACAGGGGCTAAGTGCTACACAGCATATTTCGGTACTATATTCTACGTGCTACTTTACTACACACTGCTAAGTGTATACTGACAACCATGATTTGTTTCCGTACCTGTATGATCTCGTCGTCCGACTGTTCCCTTGCCTGCGTGGCGAGGGCCAATCCGTTCTTAAGGGCCATCAACTCTTCCATGATAAAGGCGTGAAACTGCTCATGTGCCTCGTCCCCCCTAATCAGACAAAGAAAGTCACAACGGTTTACTCGTCTCCTCAGCGCGACGCAGCGGGGCTCTCAACCGAGATGACTGCGGGATAGCACCCCTGCATATGGCAATTCACTTTTCAATGCATCGACAGCGCGAGTTCGACAAAAGAGAATACAAATCGGGAGTGTAGACCTGATGAAGCAGAGGTGAAGTATACACCTACTTGACAAGCTTCTCGACTTCTCTCTTTATGAGATTGAGCTGTTCCTGTCGGACAGCAATCTCAGCCTCAAATTTAGAGTCGACAAGAAGCTGCATTTCCCCAAACTTTTTACACACAATACTTTCACGCTCATTTTTGCTCCTTGTCTCTGTCGTAAATGCTTGACGAAGTGCCGCTGCTTCACGCTGGAGAGATGCGAAATCTTGCTGAGGACGCAAAATGTACACAGTATAACCTCATTCTTGTTGAAGCCTGCGGACATGAGTCTGAATACGTGCGCTCTACAGTTGAGAGTGGCCCCAAGCCCTACCTTAAGCAGCTTGAATAGAGGTGCGTGCCCATGCGCGTGCCATGCAATACATCAGATATATTCTCGCTTAGCGGGCGCATCAGGGAAAGTGAGATAACTGTAGCTCATGTACAACCGTTGAGAAACAGTGGCACTGTCACCTTGCTTACCGCAAGCTTGCTGGGCAGCTCTCCCTTCATCTGTGCAAGCCCCTTTTCCAGGCTTTCGCATCGTGTTATCAGCATGTCCATCGAAACCTGAGTTTTTACGCAATCACATTACATTCGCAAAGCCAGAACGCATCCACAGTGAAGTCCACGCCTTGATCAATATGCTGAACGCCCTTACAAACAAATTTTCAGAATACTGCAATGTAGTTGGTACTGTTGGAGCGTATAGCACTATTTACGTACTGGAAGCGCAGCAGCTTCAAAGTTAGGCTCACCGTAAGGCTTTCTATGTATTTTACTATTCGCAGCTGCAGCCTGTCCAGCATTTCGTTTGCCATCTGCTCAGATATCTGTTGCAGCGCCTTGTTAGCATCGACCCTTCTTTTTATCTCTTGATTCAGGGTTTTCTCAACGGCCACTATTGAGTCCCTAATTTCCTGCTCATACAAATCACGGGCAGACGGTGAGTACTGGAAGCCATTCAACTGGATAAAATCTCCATGTTGTCGCACTGCAGTGTCTCGCAATCCAGAGGTTCTAGCTAGCGGACTTGCCTGGTATCTCTGTTCGTCTACCTGTTTCCTCTTGCGCGAATCATCTGCAATGGATGTTTTGAAGCCTGCAAATCTTTCGCCTACGGTACTTAGCTGCATGCGTAGCCTATCAGTCTTCAGCTCAGGAAGGACCGCCATTTGCTCTCCCTTAATGACCTACAGCGAGGCAACCCTAGTCCGGCTCAGTACTGTCGGGAAGCGATCTTCGGTGAAAGGTCGAGCGGCTGACAAATAGATCTTGAACGCTGCAGAAGGCTTGGCGCACCGATAACCCCTCAATATATTGTAATGTAAAACTGATGAGCACACGGCTGCACGATTTTACGCTACGAGAATACGGCAATCCAACTCCCCGACCGTAGATGTCCACGGATCGCCCTGGGAAACTCACGGGCGCCAGGTCGCCGCGCCTGCTAGGCGATATTCCACAATTTTGAACGCTCGGAATAGCTTTTTAACCAAAATATAATTCTTTTTCACGGGGTGGAGCTTCGTTGCAGTTGCTTCACGGGGAAGATATGCAGACCTCAGCGACCGCAACCAGTGTGGCTCCGCCTAGAGTTGACTGACACGTGAAAGACCAAGAAACGATCTGTGTACAGCTTTTAAAGTAAGTGAAATGCTGCACACTTGAACGCGAAATATTTTTAAAAAGACTACTGCCGAGTTTACTTTGCCGCAGTGGCAAGACACTGGGCTGCCATGAGGCCGCCGCCGACGGACAGCCCCATGAGCCAGTGGCTTTTCCACTGACTCTGAGCCCAGCTGCGTAAAATCCCTTCAGCTGCGTCTATGCTCAAAAACTTTTGTAACTATGCTATACTGGGCAACTGAAACCCTCGTAGGCCTGTCCCGGTGCAACCCTGTGAGCGCACCACCTGCAGTGTTACCTGCACGCTTCTGCACACTAGAACAGCAGTTCTGAGTTTTTTTTGAAAGAAACAGCATACACACAATCTCAAGAGACACTCTAACTGAATGCTCATGAAAGTACTGGAAGGCCACCTGTGGACTACAGGCTCCACGCTACGCAGTAATCATGAAGGAACCCCACAACCAAACCTGCTCATCTGAGGACGCTATAGAAACCTTTGTCACCCTCATTTCCGGACGCTTTCAAGCCATCTAGACTGAGTACCAACAGGTCCACGGGTCTTGCCCCTCAGGATCAGCCTCCCAATAGATAAAATAACGGGAAAAAGACACTATAGTGACGAGCTATGGATCAATCCAAGAGTTCGACTTTGCAAATTTTGGAAGCATCACCCAGACGGGGAAACGGCAGCCGCGTGCGTCTACAGAATCCGCTGTTCCTACGTGCGAAGCGTTCTCGGGCCTGTGTCAAGAATGTTGCACATTGCTGACGAAAGAAGCTGAAGTGCGGGACGTTCGCCAGCCATAATTCAATTCATCAAACTTGACACGCACAGGTTCTAATGCGTCAATATGTTTTACGGTGTATGTACGTGATACGGTTGTGTCTATAATTGTTGGCTGGGGCCGTGGCAGTTTTCCATTTAAACGGAGCTGCTTACTTGCTTGAACAGCGCTCTCGTCAGTTTCTTGTCGTAGAAGAATCCGAGAGCCTGACGGTAATTGTGAAGTCCCCCTTTTTTCGCTAGAATTAGCTTCGCGTCCATTACACGACACAGCTCTTGACCCTTGGCCGCAGTCGTTGTAATGCTACCATGCCTTAACAGCTGCGAGTAATACAGACGTGTCACTTATCACCATTGCGTCACCATGATGTACACGCAATATAAGGCAAAGTACAAATGCACTGCTGGCCAGTGGCAACGCGAAGAACCAACGATGGAACTAAGCCTACATCTACAGCGATGAGAACCAACAAGCTACCGTGACGAGGGCAAAAATGAATTCCATATAAGCTTGCCTGAGTAGCAAGGTTCCTTAAAAGAGCCTTTCTATGTGATTGGGGCCTTCCCAGTCTGCTGCGGGACCGATGGGTGTGCGCCCTCATGACTAGACACATGGCAGAGCCATGGGCTACTGCCTCTATACGCAGATCTTCCCACATTGGCAATGTCGTTGTACCTCTGCGGCCTTTTAGATGAGCCCGTGAGCTCAGGTTGCCCCATGGCGTGCAGTGGGTCTTGACAAGCCTCTGGTCGTCTGTGGTCAGGGAAGAAAAAGGTTGGACGTCCCGTCCCCCGGATCTACGGTGGCTATTATGCAGTGGCACACCTACGAAATTTCTGAAACTTCCGTTGGCACTGATCCTACTAGGCAATGAAAATGTGGTAAGCAGAAAGGCGGCCGGAAAGCCATGACCCGTGCAAGCGTAGATGCCACATGCGGTCTGTGCATCGATCCCATTACGAAGAAATATTGGCACTGCTGATGAGACGCCGATGTAGCACGGCGACAGGACAACCAGCAGCAGCATAAACTGCTCCTGCCTCTTCAGATTTTGCTGCTGCGATTGACGCGGAGCGCATTTCCTGAGAAGCTGCCCCATCTGGAACAACACATGCCCGCCAAGACCTTGGTGCTAAGATGCCTGTGCAACCTAGTGCGTTGCTCATGGGGCAGTAGCCGCAGGCAGAGGTAACGGTTCAGACAGAGACCATTGCAAGGGACCCCTGGACGGGGCCCCCTTAAGCGTATCTAGAGAGCCGAGCGAACCATTTTGACCTTTTGTCCTCCAAAACTTCAGCTCTCGAAGCCTTCAGAGTGCAATGCAGGAAGAAATCATGGTTCTAGAGAAGGAAAACGTCATATAGGAATGATGTCCTGGTGCAGTAGGGGTTGTGGCTTGTGTCCGCTCGAGATGCTGGGCCTACGTGAGGATTACTAGGGCTCAACATTTAGTACCTCTGCTCATTCTCTGAAACAATAAGCTCAAATTATGCATTCGCGCAACTAACTGGCATTATTATTGTGCTCTTAGCTCCGGGACTTGTAACCAAGTGTGTAGAGTCACTGTTGGGTCTGTGGGGGGCCTTTGGTAGACGCCTGGTCTACATCACATCAAGCCGATGTAAGTAAAATGGAGCTGGGAACAACACGGGGTTGTCAACAGACCCCTTTATAGTTTGTAATAATTTCAGGACTATCCCATCGACGGCATTCTCTTGCCGCCTGCGCAATGCCTCTTCAGGGCCACAACCAGATGTCTTTTTTGGACCACCATATTCTTTTCTTTTGTTAACTTCCTTCATCATTATCTCTGTATAAATTAATTGAACTCATAATATGGCTTTTTTGTGCAAGGAGTAGAAAACAGCCCGCACCAGCAATAATGCTGATGCTACGTTCTTTACTTAGCATTCTGTTGCCTATCAAGATTCGACAGCGTGAGAAATTTAACTAGTTACTTAATATTCAAGGCCACTGTAGGCCATGATAGAGTCTGATTGCCCTGCTGCGACGGGGCATGCCAGTAGTGCTTTTATGGCCTCACTGTTGCGATGGGTGATTCCGTTCTGTTTTATCGAAAGTATAATTTTCTAACGAAAAACTTTGTTTATTGATGGGTCTACAATTGCCACTCTAAATAGGATTAGTGTTCGCAGTTACAGATTCCATAAAGGCGTTATCGGAGCCGGAGCTTTGCTCTACCTCTTGTAGGGCTCACCTCCTAGCAGTGACTGCAGCTAAAAAACCTCGTCCTCCCTTCTTGAAGCCGGCAAAATAGCGTTGGGATCAGTAGCCTTAATAAGCTAGGCTGCTTCGGCTGTTTCGTGGCTAACCTTCCAGCGTGATCTTAGGCACCTCCCAAGCCCTTAGCAGCTGCAAGAAAGCTTCAACTTCCTTCCATGTTGATAGGTCTCGGCCTGTTGTCTCGCAGCCGCAGTCCCAGTACTGCTTAACGCTGCAGTCGCCGCGCTAGCATATGTCGTCTACTGGAGCCAGGCGCGCGTTTGCTCAGCCTTTCATAATATAGTCTGTCTGTGTACGTTTTAAATCTTCCACGGTAAACGTTTTCCTCCATACCTTCTGCAAATGACTCGCAAACCGTCCCCTCTGAAGCTCCGTCCATTGCCCTGGATTTGGTTTCCTATGGATGGCTGCGCGCTATTGGACTGAGGGCTACATCTAGCTTCGCGCTGTGATTGCTGTTGGTGGGCCGGGAGGCGTAGCTACCGCTATTTTGGCTGCAGTTGTTGCTGTTGCACGTGCTGCCTTAGTACCTGTGATTGACGTTGCAATTGCGATCGCGACTGCGACTTCAAATACCACCCGTTCTGCTTCTGTGCTGCTTCTGTTCGGTGATAGTGCATACACAGCTGTGGCCGGTTTGTTGCTTGCTGATGCACTTGCCATTCCCTTTGTTGTTGCCGCTGTGGCTCCTGCGGTTGCTGGTGCTGTGACTGTTCGTCTTTCTGCTGTAGCTATTGTGGCCCTGGTTTTTGCTTTGGCAGCTGAAGCTGCGCTTGCTGTTTTTGTTGTAGCTGCTTCCGTTTCCGATGCAGCAGCTGCACTGTTGCTCTTGCTGTTGTTCCTGCTTTTGCTCTTACTATTGCGCTGGAAGGCGCGATTTCCGCTGTTGCCGCAGCTGCTACGCTCTACCTTGTGCATCTGCTGTTCCTCTTCTGGTGTTGTTAGGGCGCTTCCTCCTTAGGTGAGTGCATACGTGTCCACACTGCCTATCTTTGTGAGCCAGTCTGTTTAGGGCTCATTACTAAGCTATTCTGCTAATTGCAACCGCTTCTACTACTTACTGCTGCTCACACTACAATAGCTTGCAGCCATCTCTATTTAAGAAGACCAAGTCCAGAACCGTAAATTTGGCTCCACCCAGGCACAATTCATGTATGCGTGTAATAATTCCTCCCTAGCATAAATAGCTTAGTACTCATGACTTCGTGCAAGCCTGTTCCACTTTATTTGAATGTATTATTTATTTTAAAATGTTATGTTCGCTCTTTTCGTCCGAATCCATATTTTTATCCTGTGACTGGAAGTATTTGCTACTAATGGTTTTCCTCCCATCAGACAATCTTTGTTTTGTGTTTGTCTGGTTTGACCACTATTCCTACGGGGTTTTCTTCTTATCTCGTTCCTGACTTCATTGGTCTGTGCAGTTGTATGTGCATAAGTGCTTGCTGTATTGACTACGTAGCAGCGATAGCTGCTTGTTAGATCTGCATGCATGTGGAGGTGCAAATGCGCGGTCACACTCCCTCTTTTGTTGGCATTCGCTGGTCTTGCTGCAGAGCCGCTAATATGCGCGAAACAGAGCGAACACCTGAATGCAACTCTAGTAGTACGTGTAGCGAGGAGGGAAAAGGGAAGCTGCAGAAGTTCGAAAATGGAGCAGAAAGACATTCGAAGAAAGTGGGAAATATGAGCATAGTAGGTAGCAGAGGTAGCGCAAAACGATTCGAGCGCGTGGGTAAGGCCCGCCAACAGCTGCGTACCCAGCGGTTCCTAGCCCGCAGGAGCGCACATCACCCGCTGTGGTTATTTGCTATCTGCGGCATGGTCCATTCCTCGTGTAGGTCTCGCCTCTTAACCAGGTACTGAACACCCTTCCTGATATTCTCCCATTCCAGGACATTGTGGATCTTATACTGGTCTGTCCATCTGCCAACCGCATCCAGAACGGGAAGCCAGCTAACGGCACCTTCCTTGCCGTCAAAGGGAGGGTGAGCCAGGGCGGCGTGGAACGTACTGGGAGAAGCCGGAAGATCCATGGCAAAAGCCAGTCTACGGGTATGCCAAACGTTACGCAGGTTTGCTCATGCGTTTTGTTCCTGCAAATTAGCACCTATAGAATGATTTGAGCTCGGGGTAATTGCTGACAGTTGTTGTGGTAGCTTCTGAATCATACTTTGTCCACAGCAGAGAGATCGCCGTCACATTGTGTGGAGTTTATCTATGCATTTGTTGCCATTTAGCTTGACCGCAGAGCTATTCGATCCGCTTGGTCATGGGTATTGTGGCAGCACGGGCGAAAACACCAAGATCCGCTACCGTGAGGTGGTTCTGCTTGGTCATCACGGCAAAGGGTGAGGTCGGTGAAATAGCGAGTGATTTTGTATGCTAGTTTGAAGGCACGGCGTATGTACCGCGGCCCCAGCCCTTCCAACTGAATTAAACTGTGGAGAACATGCGCCAGATTACGGTTGACATGTTCGGTTTATCAGCCAGTCTAGTTGGGACAGAAAGGAGGCATCGACCGCTCAAAATTTTGAGAGATGTCGGCAGGGACTTGACAAGAAGCGATGGCCTCGGATAGAAACCACTGCATCACGTGTGATAGCTAACAGTGGGGTCAGCAGGTACCTCGATAGTGCCTGCTGCGGTGCTTGTTTTCTTTGTCGGAAAAAAATTGATCATCCAGCATCTACAAATGGTTAGCAGCTAGTGGAGACCTGCAGGGTTCTTATGTGCCTCAGTAGTTCGAAAAATTGCAAGCGAGACTCACCATGTGCTGCAGTGCAGGCAAGCAAAGCAGTGCATGGCAAAAATGGCAGAGAAATTCATAGTTTGGCCCAGTTGCCCACGGTGACGTGCCCGTGATGGACGCAAATCACGGACACAAAAAGCTCAGGAATTTGTTGGAGACAGTTGTTCCACATGCAAGGATACCATGAGAATTCAAAGTTGTAGGCAAGTTGCAGGCTACAAAATACCAGTCGGACGATTTCACCGGCTTGTCTGCAGCAGATCAAGACTCCTGGAGCACCGAATGCTTCAAAACTTCTGAAATCGAAGCTTGCGGAGCATCCGGGTGGTATGCTTCAAATGCGTTATTTGGCAGTGATATGCTTGAACTACGTGGGTCTGGTATCGGGAAGGAATGTCTCTCGAAGAGGACTGTCGTCGCATTTTGGTTCTTCTGAGAATACGCTGGGGGGCGTCTGCACTAGTGTGTGAGAGAGGCGCCTGCATACGCATACCTTAGACGTGCATATGGTGTCGCTAGAGTTCCGGGCGTCGAGCGTCTGTAAGTGCTTATTCGAGCGAAGGTTGAAGTTTTGGGAAAGCGTCAACGATACAAAGCAGTCTGCCTGGATTTGGGGAAGCGGTGCATTGCCAATGCACCAGCCACCTGCTTCCGCTTACTCGGGACCTGTGCCAAGAGAACTACGCTGCAGGCGTGCCTGCCATAGAACGTCAGTGCCAAAGGCAATCTCAGAGCTGGATATAATCACATCACCAAGGCATGCAGGATCACCCAAACCTAGTAGAATGGCTAATGGGAACTCTTAGAAGGTGACGAGCCCCAAGCCGAACACCTTATTCGAAGAGTCCCATGGCCTAGCAGGAAGCAATCTTTTGAAGCTATTTCTCACCCATTAATATCCGATGAAAGCCTTGTTCCAAATCTACATTAGAGCTATATCTCACATGAATATCACTAGAACAGTTTGAATAGAAGGCATGGGGAAGTCAGGTACGTTGTTAGGGCATTTCACGTTTGGTAGTCAACACCAGCTCGCATCCTTCCTACTCCGGAGCCGTTTTTGTGCTTCCGAAACACAATTTTTGCGAAGCCTGTGGCTAAGAATGTGTCGCTGGCCCACCCGTTCGCTGATAATGTAGCCATTTCTCCTTTTCATGGCTGAGATGATGCGACACCATGGATGGCAAACTTACGGGATTTTCCAGGAGTTTTTCAGACAACAGTAGAATACTGTGGCCATGTTGGGGCTATGCTTTTAGCACACGATATAGCTCTTCGGGGAAGGCAGCGTAATGCATAATTAATGTGTTGGGTATCTCTTGATGTGGGGTCCTATTGACTTTTCGTCTTCTAGAGAGCAGTTGGCAATTAGGGAGGACGTTACGCTCTGAGTTTTATGGGTTGTTTACAATCCTACGCCACTCACTACAGTGCCCAGGAGCGACCCCTGGCTCTACTGTTGGACGGTAGTCACTTCGAGATTACGCTCTTTTACTTCGTAACTGGCCACGAGCATCAATCAAGCTCATGAACGCCTTCCATACCAGTTCCTTAGCTTGGGTTTTCACCTTTTCTTCGTGTGTGACTTGTACCATTTTGGGCGTAGACGTAGGGGTGTTGCTTATTTCTCTGCTCTGAAGCCCGGCCCCAATCTTTCCAGGTGGTCCCAGGCCTGCGCTGAGGGTGTTGTGAATTGTGTCAGGCCCAACAGGTCTTCCTTTTTTCCCTATCTTGAATCATGTTCAAGCGTATACCACACCATCGGTGACTCTTATAGGCTCTCAGCTTATAAAGTACTTACTAAAGCACCAGAAACACCTAATGCTGATGATGAGAGTGCACTAGATGTCGCATGAGGTAATCTAGTTTCATAAGCAGACCGCACAGAAAAGCCACATCAAGGAAGCCACCCTAAGAACAATCACGTCCGCACCAAATTTTTAGTTTAATCACCACGCGTTCGAGACCCAACAGCTCGCTTTTGCCCACAATGGAGAGTCATTAGGAAGCCGCCTCACCCTAAACAGCACTTGATCTCCAGACCGTGGGCTGATAAAGCTACGTGACGGATCGTTAACTAACAGAGCTTCACGGCTGTCCCGTGCCTCAGATCGAGTAGCAGCTCTCATTCGCACACTGCATGGCTTGCCCTGGCACTGGCTCGCCAGGACTTCGCACGGCTTCTCATGGCACCAATGTGGCGGACAGTATTCCACGCCTGCTGTCCTCTAGCTCTGTGTTACTCGCCCGCTGCCTTTGTTGTACTTATTTTGTAGCCGGCTCCAAAGACTTTTGACGCGGTGGGCCCCGCTACGTTCCATCAAAGCGACGGAGTTTGCCTTCAATTTTCAGTACGTTTAACTATCTTTTTTTTTCACATGGATGTTCTATTTATTCATTGGGCAATATTATCTAGCTGGAGCTGCAACTAGCTGAGTTGGCAGCAGCCTCACTTTGTAGGTTCTTCATTACAGTGCATAGTTTAAGTTGCCTGGTACACTAATCTTACCGAAGAGCAGCCTTGTTACTTTCTTTTGCTTCTCGAATTCGTGCTCTGTTTACACGTTGTGAACAGTTGCCTAGCTGAAGTCGCAGCAACCTCACATTTTTGGTCGCGGTGTAACGTTTCAGCTTCGGCGTAGGAAGCTTCATTGAGAAAAGGAGACAGCGACAGAACGTGCATTCGGCGTGCCGCCGTATTCCCGAGGTTGTGCTTGCTGTAGAGCTCTCAAAGCCGAAATCCTTCCGGAGCTCCACAGTTTTACTCTTTTTACTTGTACTCTTTTTACTTAATTCTTTCCCTAGAGGTCCAAAACTCAATACGCATGCCTCTCAAGGCCATTTTTGTGCTCCACTGTGTGCAGCACTACTTTGGTGGCCTGTGCGAGTGTCCACATTGGCAGTAACACGTGCCTCAATTCACCTTTTCTCAAAGTTACTTCAGACAGCCTTTTCATGTAGATTCAGTTTCGCGTCACAAGTGCTCGGCCATTGATTAATCGTGAACTTCCGCAGCTGTGAGAAGCTGGTCTGGCTTCCTCAGACGAGCTATAGCCTTCTGTATGCTCATTTCAACTCAAGGTGTGGACTACCAGTAAACGATGTCACTAACGTCTCAGTGATGCACATGTAAATTGCCGACACCAGATTATAGTGGACTGAGGAGCCTTGAATTGATACTTAAGTCTGCTACCGTCGCCCTAGAGGCGTGGTAAGGAGCAAGGAAAGCTAACAGCAACCCATCGAAAAGATTCTTATGATCTCAGAGTGGACTTATTGCAAGCCTCTTTTGGTCAGCAAATATATTAGATACGCGGTTGCACAGGGTACTATACAGTGCAACCGAACAAACGCCTGGTGCAGAAGGTGGAAGCTGTTCTTCGAGGGTGAGGGTCGCAAACACGATGGATGCTATCCGTACTGTTGATATGCGTGACAACACTACTCGGTGCGCAAAGTGCGTCCTCAGTACTTGATATAGCGTACTTCGCTGACATTGGTGATCCATAACTGCACAGTTGGGCTTGTGTGCGCATATTAAGGCATACTATCGATCGTGGAAACATCTAAGCTCTCAGTTTGTGCGCAACACAGGCACTACGAGCTGCGGATCTCACTCAAAAGCAGACATTGCAGAATGAGAAAGGGTCGGTGATGATGGACACTTAGGCTCACTTCTGCGCACTTCTGCGCAGCTTTCGAAGTGAACGGCTGCCTGAAGAATTAAAGACTGGAGTCATGTTCGCGGTCTTTGGAGGCAAGAAACGGACGATGGCCAATTGTGTCAGTGACGCCTTTTAGTAAGGTGCGTGACTATGAAACGAACCTAGCAAAGATTAAAAAACTCACTTATCACCGATTAGAAAGAGCCACTCGAACTCCACTTAAGCGCCACTTAAGAGCGGGATCTGAATCGCTGTGTGCTCGTGTTGGGTCCTCCTTGTAACTCTGTAAAACGCTGTCGTGCAAGGTACCACTGGTAACTCATCCACTGGTTTGATAGCAACAAGGGCGATACACCTACGCAGGGGACAGATACTAGCGCGCTACGCGTCTGTTGGAGGCGAATGAGCCAACGAGCAGCGTTGTTGCAGCAAGAGCAACTGGAGTGGCTTTGCGGCCAATGAAAACATCTGCTGAGTTCAATAATATTACAGTGCTACTGGCAAATCGTGGAAGCACTGCAGCTGTTAGTAAACAAAATCTGAATGTTTCTTACTCCTAATGGAAGGTGGAACTATGCGTAGTACGCATTTAGAGAAGACTGCTGCTAAGTAGACAATTCACGCTCCCTAGGGTAAAACGAAAAGCGTACGGCTCAGTAGAGCTTCATCAAAACAAGAGGTTTGGACTTTTAAAGCTTATATGTGTGCGTGTAGTACCACTTTCTCTCGTTTCCCCATTGGCTGTGTAGAGTAGCGGCACATATCTTCTAGCATCGTGTGATTCATGAGTTGGCACGCTGGCTCCCCCATGCATTGGATGATCTGCGAGTGGATCATTTCCTATTCTTCGGCTGAAGGGGCTTCTGGGAATCTGGCTTCGACGAGCCCTTTTGACCGCCCAGACGGCCAATCCACGGCAGGCCATAGACCCGTACACCTGTAGCTGGATCTCCCTTTTCGGATCGTTCATATTCTAATCTGTACTCAGATAAGGTGGTTTCTAGAGGGCTGTCGTGCACTGATGTTTCGACTCTGTGATGAAGGTGCCGTTTGGTCGAGAGGCGCGGCCGTCCGCCTTTTTCAGGAACCGTTGAGAGCGACTCACTGTAGAACGCAAGCAGACGAATGCACAGAAGTGTGAATTTTCGTACTAGTATTAACTCGCGCAACGTGCTGTGTTGTCGGGGAGAATGCATTCTGAAGAATGTGCCCCAAAGAAATTGATAGGAGTGACTGAAGCTGTATTTGTGCTGCAGAAATCACTTTTAAATCAAAAGAACTATGTATTGGCTTACAGTGCACATGAAACTTGTGACTGTGTACAAGCCATCTCGATCAAAAACTTCGTCGTGAAATCTGCCTTTTGTTGATCTGTCAGCTCGTCATCTACAGCTATAATTGTCCCCACCCCTGCAGGCAAGCAAAATCGTAAGCGCGGAGCTACAGTGCCAGATGTTGGCGAGTTGAATGCAATTAGAAAGGTAGCGGCGAGCAAAGTGTTGCTTTGTCTTTGTCAAATCAATTTGGTTCCAAACATAGCAAGAAGAAGGCAGTTGTCTCACCCCTGGTGCTCAGCATTAGAAGAGTTTGTACTCCCTTGGAAATTTCAAGTGTCTGGGAATATGAAGTAGTAGGCCTGAGTTGTTGGCCTTGACGAAGATAAGCTTCGCAGTGTGATGGCTTCTCTCTCATCAGTAGCAAGCCAAGAAGAGAAATATGCATTAAATTCATGCCAACAATTGCACAATTTATATCGTCAGAGTCCCGTACAATCTTGTTAAGGGACAGAGCCCACGCGGCCTGTGGTGCTTTTGTGCATAGTAACTCTGGGATAAAGCTGCTGCACGGTGGAGACTCAGGAGTTCCATCCATTGAAGAAGTTTGTTTCGCTGACAGCAGATCTGCAACTACTGGGGGACGCCAGTCGCTTTTGGGCTCTCTTTGTGGGGGCAGAAAAGTTGAGAAGGCTGGCGGGCAATCTGCGCTTTTGGCCGTTGCAGTTCCATCATTGACAGGCAAGCCAGCTACTTGGGACTCCTCTTCTGTTGTTTGTTTCCCACTCTTTGCCATATTCTGAAGATTTTGGCAATCTGTAGCTTCTGGCAGCAACAGCAAGGACTCCCGAGAGAAGCCACAATGCATTTCGGCAAGAGTCCTTTTCGGCTGATTGGCAGGAGATATTGAATCGTGATGTTGCATCCGACGCGCAAACATGTGCAGACTGAAGTCTCTCGATATGCGGTAACCAAATAGTCGTTTTAGCACAGGCAAGCTTTCGAAGGGAAAATGGGACAACCGGATGTCAGGGAGGAGCAGCAGATGGCTTCTTGATTCGCTGACAGACGCTAATTGACCTTGGGCAAGCATTGTTGATAGGGACCAGTGCAAAATTTGTGCACCCAATGCCTCAAATAATTCCTCCACTACTTCGTAAACCTGGTCAGGATACGTATACAGAGATGAACGCAATGCCTCTTTGTTGCTCCGTGACTCTTCTGTTTGGATAGCCCTTTTATTCCTGGTCAAAAGACATTCTGGAAGCGCGCGGCGCTGCACAAAAAACCGCCATGCCCCAGAAGAGCCATCTGGCTGGACATGTGGGTAGGCAGCGCCGAAAAAAATGAAGCCACGTGCGCAATGGAGACAGGAAACGCAACAGTTGCGAGGTAACCATGCATGAAGAACTGTTGAGGGCGTTAGGTCTGCAAGATTTGTCATGCTCGTGAAACACGAGCGGGAATCAAGCAGCCTGAGACATAAGGAAAAAGCCACAGTACCGCAAGGATTGGCTTGCAACTACACTCCTGTATAAGTACGCGTGGCTGAAAGATAGGGTTGGCTACACTGTTCATATCCAGGCTGGAGGATAACGGGAGTATTCTGAACCGCAAAGGGGCGTTTCCTCAGCTACGCGCCCACTTGTTGACAGCTTGAAATCTAGGCAAGGCTCCAGCATCTCTCCAAGACTCCTTTAACCGCCGAGCTTCCTCTATGGCGACGCTCTCTGTCATTTGTGGGTCCATAAGTTGTAACTGCAGCAGCTTTGCGATTTGGGCAACCTTGGCAGCCTGCAGAGTGACGATTGTGGCGAATGCGCGGTCTAAATGCTCTAGATTCCTATTCCCGAAAACACTGCTGAGAAGCTCCTCGCCTAGGAATGTTGCCTCAGTGAGGTGGCCACTCGCAATGCAAGCTGAAAATGTTTCCTCGACCTCAGTAGAAGCAATAGGTTGACTGTGATTTCCTCGTGGATCTCGATATAAAACAGCAGCTAGATAGTTCAACCACCTCTGTTGGCCTTTCGCGCCCTTGTCTGCCTGAACGACACAATGCATTCGCACCAGATGGCATCGTCCGTCCGTATAATCTTGGTTTAGATGTGACGCATGCAAAATCATCCAGGATGTTTTGCAATCTACAAACACCAGGGGGAAATGTTGCATCATGCGCCGCCTCCCCGTATAATTACTTACAAATGCAACAGCACTCCGAATATCTTCAATCCAGAGATCTCGTGATGCCTGGTCCTGTGTCTCATCTTGCGCCCATGGGCACAGCTGCATGCAAGCCGTCCAGCCAAGAAGCGTCTCTCCTGTAGCCTGCGTATTCACCTTATACTTTCACGCTGACGGAAATTCGCGCGGAAGTTGTGGAAATTGCTATTTAGTTTTGTAGCAATAACATTATCTTACCTCCTGTAGGCCTCTTTCTTGTGCAATCAATCTGTGGAGAGCTTGTAAGAACGACTGTTGATGCCTCACAACTGAGCACTGGCATGCCCACTGAACATCGAGAAGGGACTTGCCGGAGACGTCGCTGCAGACATTACCCTTACCAGTCTCACGTCGGCACAAACCTACAGTCCTAACGGCTCCAAGATCCTCTGCAGCTTCTGCGAGGCGTTGCTGCTCAGCTTTCATCGAATTAAGAGAAAAGGCATCTTCATATTGACTTTCGTAGAGCCATTGCTGCAGGGCACGTCGCTTCTCGTCGGCACAAACTTTTGAAAGGGTGCACTGAGCAGTATCCGAGGGGAGAATATTGCTGTTGCCCCTTGTACGAATGTTCTGTGTTCCACCGATAACTTGGTGAAGGTCTGCTCTCCAAAATTCTAAAGTCACTAGCTGTAGCTGATGGCGGAAACAGACCAAGTGAACTCCAGCCACGGTAACCATGTCAGCCCACGCCAGAGCAGACTGATGAGTCCAGCGCTGTCCGCTGCCAGATGTAATGAAGTTTAACGTGGCTTTTGACTCCAAGTCGAGTCCCTGGCACGCAAATTAGCCAGTCAGTAGCCTAGTAACAATGAATAGCACCACTGAACTATGGTGTTAGGAGGCAACAAAGATACCTGACCTCTGCAACAGCGCTAGAGCTTCTTTATTGACGTTCAAATGAGCCTCACTGCTAGGACTCTGTGAAGAGCTTCACTGCATTCTTTCAAGTCAACGGGCGTTACAAGTGAATCGCTGCTACAGTAGCTCAACCCCGCAGCGGAGCTTTTGCGCCTTTCCCAATGGTAAGCTGTAAAGTTTTCTTGGTCTGTCCACAGAAACCGCATCGCTGCCTGTAGAAAACGAACTGCTCGAAGACAATTGGTGGCGCACACCCTCAACGGTTTCAGTGGGACGGCAAGCTCTTCAGTTCGGTCCAGCAAGTTTGATAAAATATTCACGGCCTCGAGAAATTTCTCTTTCCAATGGAAATGCAGGCTGCCTCCTTCGGCCGTCCATCCGAGGCAGTACAGAGAAAATATATAATCAACTTCGAGCCCCTTTAGACGGTGTTTCCACACGGAAAGACTCAGTGGCCATTGAGGAACCTCTGCAGTTGCAGCCCCTCTGCCAAACCGAGACTGGTGAAATCGGCTTGACCATGCACCCGTTTTGCTGGCCTTTTCGCCTCGAGTAGAAGCAAAACTAGAAAATTGCTGGGATCCTGGATGTGAAGCGGGAGGTCGGACTACGATGTTACCACTTTTGTCCAAGGTGAAGCCCGCTGCAGTGCTTGAAGCAAGCTCCACTAAAGTCAACTCAATAAGCTTAAGCACTGGTATAGCTTTCAGAAGAGTGCCCCTGGAAGCATGTAAGTTCTGCACGTATCACGCAGAATGTCAATTGAAGTTCAGGAACACATGGTAATTTTTACAAATTCGGTTTCAATGTGCAGCATGTGAGGCACTGAGGCACAGGTCGAACTAAGAAAGTTGCACGATAACTCAGCTCATATTCATATGTGTTCTTGCGGCAATATAGTAGCAGACCTATCAGTCTGTTGTATGTGTGTGTGTATTTGGAGCGGCATGGAGCCTACCCATAAAGCCTCAGCAAAGTTAAGGGCCACCGGAACTTCAAGCTCGGCGAAATTTGGCAAGCTTGTGACCGTGTCAAGTAGCTCCAGTGAACCATTCACATCACCCTGGCGAAACCGAGACGAGGCCAACAATGTCACCTGCCGAGTAAAAAGGTTGGGGTTGCAGTCTTTGAAGTCCTGCAGGCTTGGCAAGTAGGAGGAGGCTGAACAGCCCAGCACGGAACTAAGGCCGACCTCCCCAATCAGTAAGCACTGCTCTCCGAGAGTAATCAGCAGCTCGCCTATAGATATAAGCGAGCATGTTCGTTGCAATGTCACAACAGATAAGCAACAAGCTTGTCTCCCCAGCGTTTTTGAAAGTCCTCCGCAAGCCTCAGTCACCTGTCCTAGCGCTTCTGTCCATGATCGAATGGCCGACGGGGAGAAAAGTGGCAACAACTCTTGAGCTTCATTTAAAAACCCGCATGCCATGGCTCCCCTGAATATTTGTATGTTAAGCGATGCCTCTAGTAGGGACACGGCTGGATGCACGCTTCCAAAGCTGTTCTCAACAGAAGTGGATCTCTGCGATTGGAGCGAAAGCTGGAGGAAGGCTTCTGTGATTTTCGCCCGAAGCCGCGTGAGCTGCAATGCCCAGCTTTCTAACCCGAGCTCAAATAAATGGGCTTCTGCCTTGGTTAAAAGGCGAAACCCTATAATCAGGCTGGTAGACCATAGCAAAATGTCCCGTGTTGCCAGGGTGCCCTTGTGTGTGTATGATTTCAGAAGGGATATCAATCCGCCTTCGTCAACGCAAGCCCGCGTACGCAGGTGGCAAAGTGGTGTCTCTTCTGTGGCTGATGAAGAACTGCGCCTTGACCCTGATGCTGCCAAACGAACTGGGTCACAAAGGCTAGCAGATGCCCATGGATTCAGTTGCATAGTTGCCTGGTACAGTAAAGTAACCGTCCATAGACACACAGCATCCGCCTGTCGCCAAAATGGCTTTCACATCTTCTCCTAATCTGCCACTGCAACAACTATTATCATCTTGATGCTCGCTGCGCTCTAGGCAATTCCGCGAGTAATGCAACGCGCTCTGAATTAACGGCAAAGGCTTGCCTCTTTTTGTTCCAAACCAAGCTCAACCCCGTCACTTCCTTCTCCTACTAAGTTCTCGTTATCATATCCCTGGTTCGAGCTGTGAACTTCGGGATTTTCGAGAATGTGTGATGATAAATTAACCATTTGCCTCACTGAATCTGCAGCCTCTGCCGGGTCTGGAGAATAAAAAATCTTCATGGCTTGCATGTGCAGGAGCAACAAGTGATCGAGCCTCAGCAAGGTGCCACTAAAGGTCATAAAACTTGTTAAGCACGCTGCTGAGTCCGGATGGCAGCCAGCGTCTACCTCGGAGTTATTTTCTGTAGGCCTCGACTGCACGCAACTCAACGATTGTCAACATGGAGTGGGCGGTCAGGAAAACCTACACAGAGTGAAGAGTTGGTTGCTTTATTAATTGCACCTGTATTTTTATGACGTGGAATGACAAAGAAATTCGATGCTGTGTGAGTAATTAGTTGTAGGCATCCCCTTGGCCGCTCACCGCCTGCTGAGACTGGAGCTCTTTAAGAAGTTCCACGGCAGCACGAATGTGTGAACTGGCCTTTGTCCATGAGCGCCCTAAGCTTAGGAGCCACTCTGCAATTTCTAGATGGACAATGATCCCATGGGGGTCTTTGCCTGCTTCAAAAAGATTAAGAGCTCCTTCATAAGCTTCCAGTGCCATTGGCGCAGTGCTAGGATCTTTTTGGGCAAGCCGAGCAAAGCACAACAGCAAATTGGCCTCACTCGATGTCTCACTTCTAGCAATGCTGAGTATTCTAGGAAGAAGATTAGGTGTTCCAGAACGGGTCAGAGAAATAATCTGCAGCTTCATCAAGGGAGCATGCAGCATCTTAGGAACTAGTAGCATTGCGCTTTCAGCCATGCGGAAGAGCTCATCCCACTTCTTGCAACAACAAAGGGAAAAAAGAATTCCCATACACATGCGGGTTATCAAACTTATCTCAGTAGACCGGCAACTGGTGGGTATAATGTACAATGCTGATTTCACAGCCAGACAAGCCTGGTCTCCGTAATACTCATCGTTTACAACTGGAGCAGCAGCGTTCCACAGCGCCTTTGCTGCAAAGAGCAGAAGTGGCAAGCAATCTGAGTCTTTCCCGTATTCACAGGCCTGAAGTAGATGGCGAATCGCCCACATATTCCCATGCCTGTAGACAATCACGCCAATCACCCTCCTCAACTGCATGGTAATTTTAGACTGCCCCGATGTAAGTGTCACTGCAGCAGAACGTCAGGTGCAGCTGCAAGCAAGTGTCCCTGCACCAGTACTTCGGTTGCAGCTGCACACAAATGCTCCTCACATGGTGAGGTCTGTAGCTAGAAGCGCCAGTCCCGAAAGAACATGTGCCACTCCCCTCCACAGGTGCAATCGATGGTCAGTAACGGGAGGAACTTTATACGGTACTTTACAGTACCTTTCCCCAAGAGCCTGGAGTGCGTATGCCGCCGATAGGCCTGGAAGGGCTGTAGAATTTAGAGAAAGCGATGCAGCGGCGAGGCGCGCCCACAATTCAGTCTTCACACGCTCAACTGATTCTGTCAATTCAACGGACGCAGATGTCGCCATGGCACTAGTCGCAGACCAGAGCAGCTCCCCGCATTGAAGCAATAAGTTTTCGCGAGTGGAAGTGTCTTTTTCCAGTATTGCTTTCTGAGCAGTAGACGAGCAGATAGTGCGAATTCGACCGTCATGAAAAGACATACCGTCACTATTCTTTGGAATCAGCTGATTTGTCACTCAATCCTTCCTGATCCTGAAGTGACAGAAAGGCAATTCTTCCGAAACATTAGTATGCTGATCGGCCATGCACACACTGGTGTACTTACCTCAATTTGGAGGAGAACCAAAATATCTGGAGTCAATTTGGGCACTGAAACGTTCTCCATCAGCCCAGGAGCCTGTCCCTTGGGTTGTTTTCCCTTGTTTGTCTTGTCCAATCCTCCGCCGGTTTCTGAGGTAGCAGTGAGAGGTGGCTTTAGCAACCGTGGGAGGATCGGCTGAGGTATGTCTCCTAGCATAATGTCTTGAAGCAGCGCACCGAGAATCGCCCGTCTGCTAGAGATATGCCAGAGGGGAACCTTGGAGCAAAATTCTTGAACTAGTCCAAAGTCTTGAATAGCCTGATATGCGGGCACTGACGCGTGGAGCCTAATATTAATTCCACGAAAGCATTATTATTTTATAAGTTTTGTGGGGAAGCTATATTGTTTGAACAATGCAGAGAGGAAACAAAGTTCAGAAAAAGTGTGCGCCACGACGTTGCAGATACTCGCTCCCCAATATGCAAGAAGAGTTGTTGGCTGGCTTTCAGGGAAGCCAAGCTGCCTTACCAGGGCAGCGCGGGAACAAAACTCGGTAAAGGTGTGCACCACCACGTCGCAAGTATTCTGTGGCTGTTCCAAAAGCCGCTGGAAGACTTCTTTTAGAACTGGCATCAGCCTGCTGATTTCCTCTACTCTTGCCGGGCTGTTCGAGAGGAAGCTTCCATATATGTTCCACGTGTGAACTGCTCCGTTGAAGACAAGCCATGTTTGCCCAAAAATTTCGCTGAGAGCGCCAACCTGCTCTTATACAAGCATGTTTGATACTACCAATTTATCAACAGTGCATCACGTAACATTGTTGGAAAACACACACAAGTACATTACTTACATTATACTTACTTAGGGCCAAATTCTGGCTAAGATATATGCATCGGGCGAGGCTCCAGGACGCACCTGAGCCTAGTCCCAAACAAAAGTAAGCTGTGAACTCGCTGGTTCTCCCTTTCGTCATCAAATGGTTTTGCAATTGATCCGTTCCGACTTCCTTTCCTTGAAGGCTGCTCTGGGGGTTGAAAGCTGCCGTCAGTAGTGCGACACGAGAAAGAAGCTTCGGCATTCCCGCAGGCGCCAATATCTTTTGATTTGCTCCAGCAAACAGCCTGTGGGGGCCAGCATGATGAAGAGCAACAGCAGCGGCTAGATAAGTTAATGTTGTCTTCTGTACGAAGGCTAATACAGCTCTAATTTTCTCCGTGTCAAAAAACAAACCAGCTCATATGCAGCCTCGATAACGTTCACGGCCAGCTCAGTTTCAAGCGGAGGCCTTAGTCGTACGCGCAGATCAACTGGGGAAACCGCGTCGAAGGACTCAAGATTCTGGACGGGTGAACTCAAACATTTCTCAGTCCCGTGGACCATAGAAAGAATAGCAATTGCAGCTCGTGCTGTGGCATTAACGTCGCCAGCATCACGTGCGCGGGTGACTAAATGGCCAAATGATGCTATAATACACTTTACTGTACGTTCACCACTCAAGGAAAGTGCTTGCCTCCGAGCGGTGGATGCCACTGCTTGTGGAGAGCCGATGCCTCGCCTGCTTGTGCCATGCCTATCAACGCGACTCTGACGGCTACTATTTTTCGCTTCATCATCAGCTAAAAGACGCAATGCTTTTTTGCGAAGACCCTCAGCAAGATCAATAAGCGTTGATATCGGCTGCGCGAGCCTGGTACGAAAGGCGATGTGCTGGAGCTGCTCAGCAGGGCTGCAGTTTCCTGCAGTCAGCGATAGTAAGCTAACTACTTCACCCAACCGCCTTAAGGACCAAGTCAGAGGTTGTGAATATGCAAGGTCGGCTTGGTTTGCAGCAGTTTCCTGGGTGCAAGTAGACGTCATGACGGGATTTTCCATAGCACTCGTCGCAGGCTGAACTGCTGAAGCTGGCTCAGTTTTGTAGGAAGGCATAGAACAGTAACTATATTCTATTTCGAGAGCCTTGTCAATTGTAGTTTGTGCTGCTTTGAAAAGCTCTTCTTCAATCTCGCACTGAGCTAATTGATGAGAGAGATGCACTCGAAGTGAGATTTGGCTTGACTGGTAGCGATCCAGTGCATTACAGGCCTATGTAGGAAAACGCATTGCAGACACAAAACACCACTCGTGTAGACTTTGGCGATACGCAGTAGCTAAAATCACTCGTCCCTGCATGCATTGTGGAGCTGTGCCAACCTTCTGCATGTTTCTGTAGACCAGCCGCCGAAATTCGGGGCCAAGGCACGGTCTCGCGATATTCCACATCGTTGCGACGCAGGTCTCCACAAGGTCCCCAGTTTCGCTTCCATGCGCTACAGATGTAAGACACTCGTCTAAGCGTCTGATAGCCTGCACTCGGAGCTCTATTATTGGGCATGGTTCATGGATAGAAGCGGTGAGTAAAGAAAGGCTGGCTGGACGAGAGAGACTAGTACTTTCCTGGCTGTAAAGTTCTGTTAGAAATTCATGCAAGCGCAACTCTGTCTCTATGTCCAGCATCCGTTGAAGCACCGCGGCGTTTGCAGTTCCAGCCTGCCACCTGTACCAGGAACACCGCATACACTTCCACATATGCAAGAACCTTCCGTTCACCATGCCCTTTCTTGCAAAATCATTCTAAGAAGCACCTGCTGCTAAAAGGAACAAGGCTACCATTAATGCACAGCGTGCTGCAGCGCTACCTGCCCAAGACCTTCGTCATTATTCTAGCAAGTGCCCAAAATTTGTATGTGAGCGCGGCCTTGGCTACTAAGTAGCCTGCAAAATGCTCATTCTCCCCCACATTTCGAGGAGCCTCAATGGACTTTTGAAGTTGCTGCAGCTGGGCATTAACAGCCTGAGCTGATCCTTTGATAATAAGCTCATCCCGGACAATTTGTGGCAACTGCGGCTCCAAAATTGCCCAAGCTCTCAAAAGCTCACTGCACTGGGTCTCTGCTCTAGGACCCGCTAAGTGATCATTTTGTAGAGTGTTTGATCCAGCTATGTGAGCTGCCTTCCCGTGAAGTCGCAAAAGGGATATCGCTGCTTCTATCGCGTTTGACCAGTGTGGAATTTCCACTTTTGCTGGAATTGGGCCGACGGCATCACCCAACGTTCCTAATCCCCCACGAATCCTGCAGCAGGCTCACTAAATTGGATAGTCTACCGAAGTCTACTTCTTTGAAACCACTTTAACATCATCCATGAGTATTGTGGTTTTCAAATCTTACATAGAAGCATGTACAGCTCGAAAAATTTTGGCGGTTGGATCATCACTTACATTGCTAGCTTGCGCTCCAAAAGGTAAAGGCACTTACGCCACTGCGGTAGACGCCCATGGAGAGCGTTGGCTTCAGCGCATAATTGCATGGCATCTTCAATAACCTGAAATGAACGTCACAGTTCTGAGATTAATGGAGCAGTTTCAGTTGTTCGGTTTTCCCCGGGGATCAGTCATTTAAAAGTATAGCTGATCATACTGGCATGTCCACTCTCCTGTTTGCTTATTGCTGTGAGCATATTTACATGTGGCCTGTTCACCGCAACAATGTTAGAGCCGGACCTTTTGAGCTTTCTGGCGTCGACTTCCATCCTCAAAACAAAATGCTGCGTAAAGAAGAAAAGATACGACGAGTTTGAACTCGCCCGGATCATTAGCTTTATGAACAGTTCCTTGACCTTGGCCTACAGAAGCTGAAGATGCTGTAACCTGTAGACTTTTGGCATTTTTTCCAAGACCCTTTGATGTAGGCGCTTCTTGAAGTCTGCAGCAAAAGACCCAGAGTGGCTGAGCGGCCCGTCAAATCAGACTACTGTACTCTGCAGCCTCACTTAGTTGCTTTGGTGGCGCTTGTAGCATTCCCATTCATCTCACTGTAGAAGCGGTAATATCCTCTCCAAACTGTTGCAGAAGCTGCGAGCCCAAACTGGTCTAGCAAATGGCCTCAGGAGAACCAACAAAACTTTGATGGCGTGGTGCCTGAGCCTCCCCGTTCTGCGGTAAAGCAGTTCACACATGTGCCCGCATTAGGGAAGGAGTATATCTGAAGGATAGGCGCTCATGATAAGAGTGTCGCACGTCCAGTTCCTGCCAATACTATCTTCAGCCCACGCAGGTCCGTGCTGTGAATGTTCAGACAGACACTTTATTAGAGAGCCTGTGTATCCTTATAACAAGACAGGACTACAGAGCAGGTACATTTCAGTCAGTGTCATACGGCGCTGACTGTGGCTCTTCACCGGCGATTAGAAGAGCTTTTTCTACGAATTGGAACGCTTCCACATGTTGTTCTAGTACCACTATACCCTTCACAGCAGCCTTTTGCAGCTGTTTAGCTTCCAGGAATGCCCTGCAGAACAAAGAAGCGCCCTACTCCCGCTGTCCAGTTGTAAACGGGGACACTAAGACTGCAGCAGTGATGGCGTTAATGAAGCACTGGAGGCCCGTTATTTTTGTTGCAACTCTTCAGAACCGCTTTACGAAATGCATCCAACACAATCTCACCGAAAAAGCAGTCCATTTGCTCTTGTTTGCGAGCTTGCAGCTCCAACTTTGTCGAAGAGCTTTTGTGAGTTCGCAAGAACACAGATGTGGGGCTCCACGCTGTTTGCGGATAGCGTGTTGCTCCATGTAAGATCGGCAAGTTCATTATGAAAACAATTGCTGTGCTATATACGACAAGGGGACACGGTTTTCGCGTGACCAACCTGAAAAACGTGACTCGCTTTGTCCTCATCCCCGTGAGCGCAGGCGTTTAAGCAAAAAGCAAGGATCATATCTGGTGAAAAAGAAAGCGGATCAAGACGAAAGCTCAGAAGTAACAAGCAAACTCAGCCTCTAACACGTGCGGACGCTATTTCAAGGTCTACCAACAGTAGAAACACTATCTGTAACCTGAGGCAAAATCCCAGGCGAAATTTTCCTTATTCGCTCAGCCTTTACCTGCAGTGAGGTCCATGAGTGACGTATCTGCCAGCAAGTTAATTTCACGGTATGCGATTTCAAGTTTTTGTGAGGCAAAATGCCCCTTTGATCCATGCTGAAATGGACGGGACTCCTCAATGAGCCGTAGAAGCCGCTGTAGGCGTACTGCAGCCATCTTCCCTTCACGTTCTTTGTAGAACTGAGATAGAGGGGCTAACTTGTGAACATTTTTCTTCTTATTTGCTAGTAGAATGTAGTATCGGTAGCGAATAGTTCAAGCGCCCATTCAAGAAGCCTGTATTCTACTCAGCACCTGCTCCCCTAAAAACGAGTATTACAGGCGAAAATATTTGCAACTTCAATTTTCTGTATTTATATTTGGATCATCCTTTGAATAGATGGTGGAAATCCAGGTGTCACTCGCCCGAGCGTGCTGACTAGGCGACTAGGCACTGGTCTCTGATTCGTGGAGATGTACCGCCGTTTAATGGTCACACTGAGCGCCCCTAAAAGCATTGTTTGCGCTCAGCCTACTGTTTAACATCACAGTATCGAGGGTACGTGAGGGGTTTATCGTCTTTCGGAGGGTGTTGTTGAAGAAGCAAGCCATCCGCGAGGTGACCCTCCGATTGCGTCTCGTGAAAAAAAGTTTATTGGCCCAAGCCTTTCAGCGAAGGCTCCAATATTTGGTCTTGTATCATTATTAAAGAAAACAAAATATGCACAAATCTTTAGGTGATAGGCGTGTACAAAAACCTTGGGTGGATGCAGGGCGGTCATCTACACAAGTAGGAGCCCGGGGACAAACCATAACAATTTACGTCCAGTCACTAGCAAAATTAAGGTTACCCTCTTCATGAAAATATTTTCTGCAGTTGAGTACGAAACTGTAAGTCGTGAATAGGTAACTCATTTTTCTTTTTAGGAAGCGGTTGCTCGTGAGAATTAACACTGGAGGAACTGAACTTGACCCACGCTCCATAAAAACAACAGCCCCTCAACCCCTTCATAAGATCAAAAGCGCTTTGAAATGAGTAGACTAGAAAACAGCACACCCTTGTCCAGGGCTTGAAGCTGCATAAAAAATTCACGGTGGTCCATTCATAGAGCAGTCTAGCAAGGGAGCTGGACAACCCGAAAGACCCAGCGGAGGAAGTCATCTTGTCAGTTGAGGGGGAAAAGAGCTAAATTTCTGCTGAGCTACTTCAGTTGCATCCTAACATGCGATATGGGTTCACTTCAGTTACGTGGTTTCAGAGCGCAGTCAGAAGTTAGAGGATATGTTCTAAGCTACCACGGCATACTGGTTAGGAATAACGCAGCCTCCATGAGATATGGCTTCACATGCATCACATTCCTTTCCGCGGAAGGTCGCAGCACTTCGCAGTCGAAAGAACTCCGCACGCGCATTTGGCTGCATGGAGACTACTAACCAGAAGCTGCCACCATTTGAACTCTGTGGCCTGCAAGAAGTTTTGAATTGGGGCAATCTTGATCAAGAATCCATTATTCATATCTTCAGCGCTGACGATGATGGTTATGGGGGGTATGCTGCCAGCCGCAGGAGTCAATCGACTACCGGAAGCACACGCCCAGCAAGCAAGAGCTCTTTGGTAACAGCCTCTCTTTTGCTAAGGAAGGGGGTTCAACAGAGTCGGCCAAAAAAAGTGTTCCTGGAGGAGAAGCCTGATAAGGCATGCGAGGCTGTGTTTCCGTGGGCAGAGCCTGCACTGGAGCAGTAGGGGAGACAGCATGCGATCGCATCATCAGTCCTGATGAAGGTGGATATGGAATGTAAGGAGCACGCTGGGGAAAAGCGTTGCCATTGGCATGCTCCATGCGTGGTGCCCCGGAAAATGTTGTCGGTGCAGTGTATCCTGCGGTGGTCTGTCTTAACGGAGACTCCCGCATCTGGTTGAGCCGCTCTCGGTGCATAGTTATGATGTAGTACGCCTGTTCTTCTGGAAGAATGTCTTCACGGATGCATACTGTATTGTCAAATGAAGTCATTTTGGATTTAGCCATGGCGACTGCAATCTCCCGACTACCCAAGCGGAGGGGCTTGAACCCGTTGACACAATTGCACTTTCGCGTTAGCTCTGGCGTGAAAAGTGCCTGGCATAGAGCATTAGCACCGCATCCGCCATTATTTGCGCAGGGTCCCCTGCTGGGGGAGTCTGAGAAACCAGCACCACAACTCCCTCAGAGACAAGAATTAGGGAAGAGCCAAGTGCACATGAGTGTTTCCCACAGTTTGTTCGCTGTGCTTAGGAAGGATGCCAGGGAGCGAAATTCTTCAAAAACCGTTTGAACTCAGTGGAAATGCCAGCATAGGTGGAACATGTCAAGGAACTATTTGGCTTCTCTTATATTTCCAAAAGAATCGACTTTGCAACCACCTTACTTATTCTGAGGCATTGAGCCGCAGATCCTGAAATACTGTTCCATGCTGTTTCCCCTGGGCAAATGCAGTCAAACGTCCCGCTGAAGTTGTGACATCGGGCTTGTGCCGGGCATGGAGGTGGAATCAATCTTTGCATCCCGAGGCTGCATTCGTCGATGTCTATACATGCTTCCCGCGTCTGCTGGAATCCTTTTCGGCACTTGCACTGATAGCTGCCGACTGTGTTAACGCACACGGAGGCAGGCCCACATGGACTAAAAATACATTCGTCGATATCCTTGCAAAATTTTCCGTCTCCTTCGAACCCACGATTGCATACACACTTCGCTGTTCCCTGCGCATCGGAGCAGGTCGCGTATTGGCTGCAAGAAGCTGAGGCACATGTCATGGGAAGAACGGGAGGGGCGGCGTACGGGTCTATTAAGTCTTCTTTCACTAGCGTGCTCCACGCGTCAACGGTGCCTCCAGTTGCGATCAACCCTGCAGTCAAACAAAAGAAAAGAATCAAGTGGTTGAGCTCTCTGGGGTCAGCCAACGCTTGCCCACCATCGAACAGAAAAGTAGTGCTGTCTCCATTTGTTGCGCAAGTGCCTTGTTTTCCTTTCGCATCAATTTAAAGTCTGTGAATGATTTAAGTTAAAATCTGAAAACCTCTGTCGAAAAGCTACGATTTTGTAAGAAATATGTCATTTTGGGCATACCTTCAAGCTGAGGGTTCTTCTTCACGCTTCGTAGCATCCGTTGAATGACCTGGCGGTAGTTTAGTTGCGGAAGACGCGTCCACAGCAGTGCAAGCGTGCCTGTCACCATAGGTACAGCAAAGCTTGTTCCGCTGACAGACCTGTAGCTCCTTCGGGCCGATGTTGTCATGATGTTGGCACCCGGTGCAGCGACGTCGACTTGCTTCTTCCCATAACTGCTGAATGGCGCAAGCTGGCCGTTGCGGCTTATTGCTGCCACGGAAACGACATTATCAAGATCATAGGACGCTGGGAATACAGGTTGCCTGCACAAGAACCAGCGCACTAAACACCAAACAAGTTCATACAAGGGACGGGGCCCGAAAGTGCGTGTTGTGCTTCACAGTTCTTCAGTTCTCCACAAAAGGAGCAGCTGAGACTCAACGCATGATAAATAGGGTTGCCTTCAATGCATATCGCTTCACTTGTCGTTGTCATTATTTCCATTGTAGTTTCCTGCAGCGGCGACGACAATCATTCCTGCCTGTCGCGCTCGTTGAACGGCTTCTTGAAGGCCTCTGAAACCACTACCCCTACCCCCGTAGCTGTTATTTGACAGCATTATCCCTTTTCCAATAGCGTAGTCCAAAGACCTCGCAAAGGCGCTTATGGTCCCCTTTATATCCTCATTCAGTGCCTTCAGTATTAAGATATCACACCCCCAGCAGACCCCAGTAAGACCTATTCCATTATTCGGCTCGGCTGCAATGATTCCAGCAGAAGCAGTACCGTGGCCATTGTCATCCATTGGTAAGTTTGTCCCCTTTACAAAGTCCTGGACCAGCACAAAAGCACAATGTACAGTTAAACACTTCACAGATTCCCTGAAACACAGATTCCTTGAAACACTTTTCCATGATTTGGTGCCTCAATTTCACAGCCTCGGTGTGCAGAAGAAAACATATGACTACGGAAAAATTGCAGCCCACCCAGCCTATGCAATCATCCACGAATCCATTAAAGTCATCATCTATGCCGTTGCCACAGATCTCATCAGGGTTCCGCCATATCTGGTTCTTTAAGTCCGGGTGTTCATAATCAACACCGCTATCTATTACGGCAACTGTAAATCTTGGCTTTTGTCCCTGGCCTGATAAAATCCGCATACGCCCAAAATGTACACTCTACTGCCAAACTCTTCGCTTGTGGTGACCGTAATATGGCGTAAAACCGCCCTTACATAAACACCACTAAGACTGCCTTTCGTAAGTGGAACAGTGTACCTGTCCAGACTTCCCATGCGTTCGGGGCCTCAATACCCCACCTCGTAGGGCCACTGTCTACGATAGCCCACTGTTGCCAAGTGAAGGGATCGTTTGTCATGACCTCCAGCCGGCGACTAGGGGCCCTGTTTATACTGGCCATGCGATGCTGCCCACTTTTGATGGCATCAAGGCGACGAAGATCCAGAGGCTCCGCAGCTACTTCTCCTACTCCGGCGTCTCCTGGTAGAGGTACTTGGGTCTCGTCGTCAAAGTCGCTGACCAAGTGGTCAGTGTATACGTGGCTCACGTAATTCTTCAACTTCAGCACGGTTGAGATAAACTCACGAACACGCCACAAAGGGGGAACTTCAAATATTTCCATGCCGAGGTTGCGGAGATAGACGGACTGCATGCGATGCGTACCTTGAAACAAAGAAGCGAGCTGGCGAAGAAATCGATTCCTCTGGCCTAGCATTTCTATCCACATTGATGGCTTGTACTCCTTGTAGCATATAATCACATTGCGTTGATAATTTGGTAAAATACTGGCAGTTTTTAAGAACAGTCCGGAGAAAAGTGAGTCTACGTGACGCCCAAGACCTTCCCAAAGACTTCCTGCACCTGGAATGAGCCACTCCTGGCCTTCTGCAAGGAAGTTTGCGAAATTCAGGGGGTTAGAAATATCTCTCGTCCGATACAATAGGCTATGAGCCAAGGGAGAAGGTATGGATATACTGCCAACGACTTCATTGATCGTGCGTGTCTCTTCACGTGCTATCCGCGTCTCCGCGCTTTCGTCAGTGAGTTCTTCGTGTTCCTTCTCATTCTCGTCCACATCAGCGTCATCTGGCCCGTAAAAATCGCTCTCGTTCTCGTAAATGCTGCTTAAAGGCGCCGTCGTTCGATCATCCATTTTATCTTGCCGAAGAGAAGCCACCGATACGTTGGGGTTCTCTCTTTCACCCTTTCCATGGTTAGCCTTTAAGCCTGCAAAAGGTCTCTCGATCTGGCCTTTTTCCGTCTCAGTTTGCGATAATGTGCGCGCCGTCACCAAATCTGAATGCTCACCAAACCGGAGATTTCTCCGCCGGGCTGGCGGGCCTTCAGGAGATGTTGTTGGTGCTTTAAAAGATGACAACGTCATAATATGTCTGTTTCTGTTGTCAGGACGGACAATGACGCCAGGTGGATGCTCAGGTTCCTCAAGTATGTCCTGAAGAGGGCCATTGGATCTTCTGGTCAGGTCGTCGTGATCAGAATACGGAGCTGTATTGCCATGCCTAGAGCCAGAAGAATCTTTGCTGCTAAATCTATGGAATGAAAATGATTCTGTTATGCGTGCGTCATCTTGCAGGGCCGTGCTAAGCATGTGCCGTCCAAGAACAGCCAAGCAGAGAGTCAGCGACCAGATGCCAGGGGCCATTCGTTGCAGTTGTCGGCTATGGCCACTTATTATCCAAGCCATGACCATCTCTACAGTCACTTCAGCGCTCAGCAGGTGCTGCGAAAATTCTCTGAGTGGGGAGTCACTTTGATGTTACCCATTCACTCAACCGGAAGACCACCCACGGGGGATTACGATGAGAATTCGGGGAGAAATGAGGGAGATTTCGTCGCAACTCACTTCCGAAAAACTCATTAGCCGTACCGTTAAAACTCGTTAAAAACAATTAGACACTGAATAACGCATGCATGTTCAGCAACTACGTACTGTGGGGTCACCGCGCCGCAACGGCCCCTTGGCGCTGATGGTGATCGCCAGACACAGCAATTCGGAAGTTCTGTGAAACACCTCATTATCAGGTTATCAGCATGACCAAAATACCTTACTAGGGAAAACGACTTATTTGTCTGTATTCTACTCCCTATAGGCAGAGAAACTGGCTCATAGGAAGAGACCTGGTGATTTCACCCGGCAGAGCCATACAGCTACACCTTCAACTGAAAAGATAAAAATGCATCCATGTGCTTTAGGTGATTGTGTGCTTGCAGTTCGAGGCCACCTGCATTTCATTTCCTCGGGAAGGGCAGCTTTAATATGCATTACTCCCGCTAGCGAGGGGAAACACGTACATACATACCAGTGTCTACGCGTGCTCGAATGCCGTATGCTCTCTGAGCAAATCCTGGCAATGAGTGCTAAACCCTGTGTATTATAAAGCAATCACGTTACTCTAGAGGCGTGGCGCAGACGAAGGCTTCTTGGAAATGCCCCACCTCGCTCGCTGGCTGCCATCAAATGTTGGGTCAGCCGCCCAACACTCTACAAGTTTTCTTCCTGTGCAGCCGTCTCTAAGGAGTCACAAGGAACTGACAGCATATATTCCTGACATAATAAGCATGCTGCGTAGACCACCGGGAGATCTGGCTCCTCCAATGTGGAGATGAGAGTCGTGGTCAAGCACAGCAGCAGTGAGTGAAGACAGCGGATGTTCCCTTCCACTGGGGCCTTTTGTACTTCATGTTCAATCCAGACAACGCCATTTCCTGCATTTTCCTTGAAAGCGCATTTTCCCAAGTGGAAAGGCAGCGTCGCCTGTGCCTTTCGGCGGCGGTTAAGCTTCGGCAGTACAGTACTTCGGCTTAACTCTCGGGCACGTAGAACGGGCAGCCATCTCTGCATTTACTTTGTGGCAATTGGACGCTCTGTTTCTACGGGTCGAAGCATTCTGCTTGGCTGACAAGCCCGAGTAAAAAGGGAAGAACAAGCATCGCACATATCCCCTCCTGTAGCAACCAGAATACTACAATATTTACGTTCGTCCCAGGATACGTCCCAGGAAATACGTTACAACTGCGATTACGTTGCTCTACGTATGAAGTTTGCCCCTCTTGAAGGCTTGAAGCACCGTGTACGTGGTGCAGCCCCCGCTTTTGTGTCTGGATTTGACTACTTAACATAAACTTCCAGGACTGCTCATCGAACAACTCTTGGTGCACAAATAGAGACCCATTCTAAAAAATCAACAAATTCAAAACTGGGGAGATGCAATTGCAAGTTCTCCCCGGAAAGTTTGCACGCGTGACTGCTGGCTTCACACCACCCAAAGACCGAATACGTAGCTCGGCGGGATAAAAAAATGGACCAGTTCCTATTCAGCCTGAGCCAAGTCATCGAAACTTGTACCGTCCTCTGCCTTGCCCACACTGCTGGAGAAAACGAATATGCTGCCATGATGAAATAGCCTATACACTACGAAAAAAAAGATGAGAGTCACAACCATTCCACCATATACGAGCCATTTGTCTCCCTGCTGCCTTCGGCCAACTGCACCCAACAGTGTGGAGGCGACACCCGCACTGCTAGCCATATCGAGCACTTTTCTTCTTGCGTTTTTGAGTGACGCGTTTTGAGAGACAAGTTGTCCCACTATGCCCCAGCCTTGGCTAAGTACTGAATCTAGCACTGTGCGGGAATCTTGTAGGCGGTCTCTCTCCTTCGCATACATTAGCTCCGCATTGCGCACATCACCCCATCTCTTCTTGTTTTCAGCATCACCCAGTAGCAACTTGCGGTCACGAATAGCGTCTTGAACTCGCTGCTGCTCAAAGTTCACACGGCTTTCAGCTTCTCTGCTGAAGCTCTCTGCATCTGCAACCATGTCTTGAACTCTTCTTTCCCACATGGAGCACATATTCCGCGACAGCTGAGTCGACTTCGCTCTCTCAAGTGCATCTTGAAGTCGAATGACGAGCATGCAGAACTGCCGCGTCAGTGCTGAGAACCGTTGCAGCTTTGCCACAGAAGTACAGCAGCTTCCCCGCCCATCCCATCCAACAAAGGATGCCGACACTCCGCTGCTGCTACATTCCACGCCCTTAGCTGATGAAGCTGTCATTCCATGCGGAACCGCAGGAGTTGACACCGTACGAAGAAGGGAGTCTAGTTCCTTTCTTAAAGACACACACTGGGGGTACAACTCTGAGATATTTTCCCCTGGTTGTGTGCCTGCCATTGTCCTAGCTCTGAGAAAATCACAGGCTACCTCGAGTAGTAGTGCCACGCTGGCCAGCATGCACCTGCTTAAGGATTGCTTTGAATAGCACCACTCGGCGCATCCCACTTGCAGCGTGCCAGCCAGCGCTGGCACTTCCGTGAGCTGGATCTATGAACCGATGTGCAAGTCGAGCAACTGGCTGCTCCCTTGCGAAAGTGAGCACATATGCCCCCCTATCTGCAGTCATGCCAACCTTCCCATGCATGCAGCGCTTGAGGTGGTGTCCTGCTTCCCGAATTATGAGACCGCGCTCACTAGCGGGGTCTAGCAAAAGCACGGGACACTCTTGCATCGAAAACGGGCAGTTTTGCTCCCTATGGAATGATTCCTAAGAGCATTCTCCTTGCGTCGGAACGTGTTGCCTGAGTTGTGGAGAAGGCGCATAACTTCAACTTCAGCAAACCCCGTGGCCTGATTCATAAGCTCACTGACCATTTTTTCACTACGGAAGAAGGTATGCAAATGTGTGCTTGTAAGAGTGTCACAGTTGCAGCAGCAGCACGGCGAGCTCCTGCATGCGCATTCGGTCAAGGCAACACCACCCCAGCAAAACCCTGGGTGCTTCACCCAGACATCAATTACTCAAGTGATATCTTCAATCAAAAGTGATTAAGCAAATAGGCAAATAGGTAGAGGGTGCAGGAAATAACGTATTGCTTGTCTGCATGTATACTCTGTCGTCGGTTACTGCCGCTCTGGCCGACACCACGAGGGTGGGCTGGCTGTTGGATGCTGTGTGACTCTATGAACACGAAATATTACTATCAGGAGAGGCGACACCTTTTAAAGAAGTTTTAGACAGTGCGCGAAGGCTTGCTCCAACGTAGTATTAGAAGGTAACAAAAGTTAGGCTAGGGCTAACGAGGTGCACACCTGCAAGGGCTGAACCGGCTCGCCTTGGCAGGATGTGAGCTACGGGCTTCATAATTGGAGGCATACTGAGCTGAATACAGCGTAACGTAGTGGGTACCCGGCGCTGCCTCACTATAGCCTCGGAGAGGACTCGGCGCATTCTGCTCCGCTACCCAAGCGTGTTTGAAAGAGGTAGTGAATCACACTGATATTTTCCTTGTCTTTTCACGTTTCAGCTTCTTTAAGGACCTCGCCAGGTATCTTCTCTGGGCTTCACAGAGACCTGAAGTCCTGTCCTGAGCTTGCATAGAGTTGGCTGCTTTAAGTTGGACAGCGAGTTACTGCTCTTCTAGCTTGCTTGGTATCTGTACAGTCAGATCACGGCTTCAAAGACCATGGCATTATTATGAGCCATTTGGTTTCAGTTAACTTTCCGTAGCCCTTAGGTCACTTCAAAGCTCCGCGCTATAAAATGTGCCTATCCACATTTCCTCCATCAACTTGTCTTCTTCATGAGCCTTGAGAACAGCTGGAGCTTCTAGGAGCGTGGAGGAGCATCTCGTGATACATCGACGCCAAACAAGGTTTGGTTCGATACAGGCTACTGACTAGCTTGAGCGTTGGCTTGCAAGAAGCGTTCGCTCCCATTCACATACTAGTCCTTGGTTTTTGTTCATTTATTTTTTATGTTGATAGGTCCAGTTTTGAAGGTGGAAGGCATCGTCCGCGAGAAGCCGTGGTAAACTCTCACTTGCACCTACGGAAATTTCACACTCACAACAGAAGTATCACGATGTAAAAATTTTCAGCACTTGTACAGGTTGCGGTATTGAATTCAACATAGACCGTTGTACGCAGTATTATCTTAATTAGATTTTCAAGCTCAGCATCTTATCCGCAAGAATACGAAGATCAAAGCCTGGCACTTACTAGCTGTTCAACGGTGGGAAGTTGGCAAATGAACTGCGAGCGCCACCAACAAACCTCTACTAATGCTCCGAAAACTCAAAAATTTTTAATTTAGTGGCTTGATAAATTCTCAATTATGCATCGTTTGGTGCCATTGGCGGCCACACTCTGTAGCGTAAAATAGGAACTAGCAAAGTAAAACATAACAACAAAGATGATGATGCAATTCCGCCGGCGAAGTGCAAAGCTCACATTTTGAATTTAAAATGCGTAAGACTTGCTGCTGCATACAAACTGGGATGCAAAAGAAGTGGGTAAGGCGCCAACTGGAGAACGACGCTTCAAGTCGCCTGTCTCCTCCTCATTCCACCCTTTCCGCAAATATGACTAGATACAAAAATTTGCAATATACCTAGGAGCAGCTGCTTGGCACTAGCGCTTTGTTGGTCACGACGGGAACAAGGCGCCCTGACGTAGCGTTGTGACGAACAGGTCCGAGGCCTCCTGTGGCCCGTCCCAGTAGAGATCACTGTTACAGCTACTAGGAACAACTAATGTAGCTTGGTTTGTACATTTTAAAAGTGAGCTACAGAAGCGTATAGCAAAGCTACCTATAGAATGCGAAAGCGCAGTTCACCCCGCCGTAGTGGCATGATGGAGGCGA